ACTTATAAGATGGGAATCTCACGGACCAAGGATAATCAAAGCCTCCTTCAAAACAGAGAAAAAGGGCATTACAATGAACGTCATCAAATACTATGCCCCTACCAACGACTACGATGAAGACGTTAAAGACCGATTCTACGATAGGCTGCAGTCAGTCGTCGAGAAGTGCCCAACAAAGGACCTGACCATTCTGATAGGAGATCTCAATGCCTAGGTTGGAATGGACAACACTGGATACGAAGACGTCATGGGACGACATGGACTGTCTGTGAGAAAGGACGGAAAATGGTGAGAGATTTGCAAACTTATGTGCCTTCAATAAACTGGTCATAGGCGGCACTATATTCCCACACAAACGCATACACAAATCCACAAGAACTTCACTGCGTCACACTACACAGAAACAAATTGTCCATATCGGCATCAACAAAATGTTCAGGAGGGTGATGGAGGATGTGAGAATCAGCAGAGGAGCTGATATAGCTGACATAGGATAAGAGGAAGACCATAGAACACAGGACGCCGAGAAATGGAGATAGAAATGAGAAGAATGAACAAAAGTGGGATAGAATTAGAAATGAAGGCCCAGGAGATAGTGGGCTGGAGAATACTGGTCGGCGGCCTATGTTGGATTGGGGTTAACAGGCGTAAGTAATTTAGTATGAACGAACTTTTAAATGATTTTTGTTAGTATTGTAGCGGAATGTCTATTCAGTAAATTCGTAACGACAAAAGTGAATGCAGTTGTTGTGGCGTTACAGTGACAAGTAAATACTGAAGTCAAGGCGCCGGTTTTCTTTCCCAGGAAGTTCGAACTTTGTCATACAAGGTAGAGGGCTTTTGAAAAAAATAAAATAGCTGTTTGCCCTGTTGCTCAGCATTTAACCTTTTGCTGCAAGGCAGAGATTTCTCGATGACTTTCTATCACAAGCCGTTGATATATGCTTTTAACACCAAAAACTGGTCGATATTCTCCTAGAGGAAGGCGACTATTCAATTTTATTTCTCCGTTGTCGACTGAAATTAAGTTTTATAAGAGGAATCGAATGTTCTCGCAGACGCATTATCATACCGAAACGTACATGCTATCATCTCTACCAAATTAATCGATCTGTCGATCTGTCGCTCGATTGCAAGATAACGGTTCCAATCGCATCGTTTGTAAACAAGACTCAAGTTTAATATCAAATGGTATTTCATTAACAAAATTCAGACTCTGGAATAATGTGTTACACATCAACTAGTACACACGAAACGTTTATGTCGCAAACATATATAATTTGGTCACAGAAAGGTTTGTTTGGCCAAAATAAACTGAAATATAAGGCAGTGGACACAAAATTGCCTATAATGTCAGAGCAACGAAATTCATAGACATACAATTCTAGCAGTTTCAGGATTCAGTCTAGCAGTTCATCGTTTTCAACTCGTTCATACTAACTTAGTTGGTTCATCGGCTTCATCTAAGGGTTTTATTAAATCTTGACTGCAGTGAAACGTATCACCAGATGAATAATTGCAAGCACAGTAAGCGAAATCTAAGCGGAAAATGTTGCTGCTGTATTCCTGGACAGACGGATTTCCAATTTTGGTTTACCTTCTACTGTTACTTACGGTAAAGTTTAACAGTTTTAACTGCACCTGTTTAACTAATTTACTCGCATTTTGAGCATCCGTTACGTTACCACAACAGCATATCACCCAGAAGCAAATTGACTGTTGGAACGACAACAGCGATAACTGAAAAGCACGCCGATTACACAATCTTATGTGACTAAATGGAGTGAGTCTTCACTTCTGACTTCATTGGGCACTGACTCTACAATCAAGGAAGATTTCCAATGCACACTTGTTTAGCCCATTTGTGAAACTAACTCAACTTTTCCGATCAGCTAACGATGTGTAAAAGCGGCTATTTATGTACCGAACCAACGTCATTTTGTGAAAAGGTTGGAAGCCACATGAACAATATTGAACCTGTTTACTTCAACCAGTTTTCCAAAGAATAGCTAATTGGCCAACATCAAGATATATGTGAATTTGTATTTGTCCATGATGATTCCGTAAGACGTCTTTTACAACACCTTTACAAGGTACCTTAAGGGGATTCGCAGAGAAGAGAAAACTATTTAACGATTGAAAGGAAGGAAGAAAAGGAGGTAGTTTCAACTGGCAGGCTTAAACATACTTTCGTGGAGACTAAAACTCACGGTAACCGGAAGTCTCCTGAAGACACCGGTTGTCGCACCATGCTGCTCCTCACGTTCACATCAAACTCTTCCCCTGCCTTTTTGGAACCAACACCTCTTACACCCAATAACGTCACACCTTACACCTTACTTAGCTCCTGATTCCACAATTTTACTCATTTCAAAAACTATTCGTAAAGAAAGGTGCATATTACAAAATGTCATGTTGAATTCATCACCAAATTTTTCTTCTGCTATTTTCTGTAGTGGAGGTAAATAACCATATACCTATACATGTTACTCGGAAGTACGTAACCGTATTACTCTTACCATTCATTTCATATCATTTACATATTTTTCTGACCAATGCGTTTGCACAAATTTTGTTAAAACTTTTTCATGAACCATGTATTGTTATCGTGTCAAACGCTAACTTTCCCATGGAGTTTACGAAAAAAGGCTTTCCAGGGAGTATTACAGTGATATGTGGTGCGATTGGTTCATCATGTACGGCCAGTGAAATGTGACTGAACCCTAGTCGTCATCCGGCAGTTGAGTCACTAAATATCGAACAAATCATCGGTCCTCGTTAAGGTCAGGGACAATCAACGCGCATCAGTTAATCAAACGCCATGGACTGACCCATGCGGCAGTGGTTCTACTTCACTTGTATCTATTTTAACTAATATATTCCTGTAGTAACGTCCTTTGTGTTGTACAGTCTTCAGAGTATCCATGGTCCCTAGATACGTCGATGGTTCAATGCAATAAGAATTTGTTGCTCATGATTGGTCAAATTTATGAACAGTTTCATTATTCAGTACTCACTAACATACGAAGCAGAGAGAAATTATATAATGAAGTGCTGAAAGAATATGAGATTTTATGAAGCATGAGTTCCTAATACACTGCTGGTAGACAGAAAGTTCGTTCTCCTACCATTCCCCAGAACCGATGAAATAGCTATTACATTGTTTTACGATAGAGATAAATAACGGAAAACTTCATCTTGCTTACCGAAGAAAGTCTTGTTAATTCGATACGTCCTAAGGTTGAATGGCAAGGAAATCTTGAATTTTCTATGTTCATGAACAACATAACCAGTCAAATATTCATTTCAAGGTTCATCTCATTAATAACGTTAGGTCGTCAAGAGGACACAGCAGTCGCTAAAAAATAAAAGCTTCTGGAGAAGCTTTGGATTACTATATCATTATGTCCATACGCTGAATATTTAGTTTAGTTAGTTCGCTCAAACGAGAGCTTGACAAGCGGCGGAAGACACTCATTCAAATAAAACGATTGGGATGTTTAATGTTGTATCATTTTTTTTGTTTGGTCATAAATATATTCTACAACGACTTGCAGCAGATAAGACCATAAAACACAATAATGATATCATGACTAGTATTTTTCAAGATTTTTTCTAGGGAGTCGAACTTGACGTTATGACTAAGTACTTGGGTATCACACTATTTTCACTTCGTGTCAAAGTTACCAAACCTTTGCTGATGATGAAAGCAGAGTGCTGAATTGTGAACGACAACAAACTGTACAACATATACAGAAATATATATGATTTAAGTCAATGAGTAGAAAAAACAGGTGTATCAGCCAAACGGTCTTTGTGAAACTAGGCAAAGTATCTAAACCTTACTGAATATGGCAATACAATAATGGCAGACATTATCAGAAAATGACAGTTGATTCCAAGGTCTACGAGAACAAACTTACTAAAAAATTTATTGTGCACTTCTGATCGTGTTATCCTACATATTACCATTCATGAAAATACCTCGAATCAACGATAAGCATAGCATTTGACGAAACTTTCAGGGTTTTAAGCAGTGGAACCACGATACTTTATTCATGTAAACTGTAGTGTTTATAATATTGCCAAACTAATTGAAGGTCCTACTAAACGTTCTAAATTTTAAATTCTCCTATTGCAGCTGAGCTACAGTAGAACTCTTAAATCATTGTGAGTGACCACTAATAGCAAGGATTTTTCCTAAACACTGTCTGTTGTAACTTGCATGCCTTACGTTCCTGACGTTAAATAAGCATCAAAACAGCTAAATAGGACTTAATCGCCCGTACTTTGTAGCTTTTTGTATACCTTAACAGTATGTTGAGTTTGAGCAGAAATTAACATTGGTTATTTGATAGTGTTTAAAAGGTTGGTGATAATATGAAACAAATAACGATGAACCTAGTATCTTACCACTAAATGTTGAAATAAGTACCGGTTTCTAACACAAATTTGTCTTCCACCACTAAAAGTTTTTCGACTCATCTAATTTGGTTTCCATGAATTACTGAGCTTCTATATTCAAAATGGACTAGTGGGCTGAGTCTTGCCGAACATTTTGCAGAAATTAATATAGACTCGATGTGCTAGTTTAATATATTAGGGCTCTTCACCCAGTCCACCTATGATAACCGCAGGCTGCAGTAATTAGCTTACCAATTACTCAGCAGGTATTACCTGTGTGATACGACGATATTTGTTTAAACAGTTCGATGAAGTTTGTGATAAATAATTTCATACCACCTAGATCCATGATTTCCCTTATTTAGTCTGTTTTAGTTGAGAATGATTTTGTTATCCGGTTAAGTATCTAATTTATCTATTCCATTTCAACTGAAGTATCATAATGTCTGTCATTTTCACTCTTCAAATATGTACTTGAATTATGCTCAAAATCTTTGCCGAAATGAAAAAATCCAAAGCAATATTTTAAAACCCTGAAAATGAGAACAACGTCAGTGTTTTTTAGCAAACTGTATTTTGTTTAGTTTGTTAGAGTCATAACAACTGACAGTGCGGTTTTTGAAACTGCGGATTTATTTGTCTGAAACCCTCTCAGATAACTTTCGGTTTCGACTATAAAAGCGCCTCATATTCAAGCCTGCTTTGCCTTTATCCTTGATTATTTGCTTTTGATTTTAAATGTAAGCTTATTTCATGTGGTTAATCAGTCATTCTTTAACTATTTTTATGCATTAATTTTTATCATAATTTCTTCACACTGATATCTCTATACGACCGAACAGTACAATGAATTGTTAAGCTGAATACGAAGAATTTTGGTCAAATCATTTGTTTTTGACCACTTTTTATTGAGTTTTAAAACATCCTAAGCTCCGAACTTTGGGACAAAATTGATCAATTTTCAGTACAGTTTGGAACAGTCCTATTAAAAATTACTCTGGATTTTCACAAGATTTTTTAAAAGTTTTATAAATTGGCTGGAAAACTATCACTGAAACTATTCTTTTGCATTTTTGTTTTTTATATTCTCGTTTTCATACTTTTGACCATAATTTCTAGAAACTATAATATACTACTACCTTGACGTTGCATAGGAATCCTGTTGAGATGACGGCAGGAAAAAAAGGCAAGCGCGATGACATATCGGCAGCAGATTCCGTAAGACCAAATAAACTTCTCATTTTTTAATCAAGTTTGATGAGGTTGTAGTTGGTCTGCATCAGGCTGAGTCAGCTGTACTTATGCTAAAAAGTCCTGAAGATGATGTTAAAACTCGAGCTTGTGAAGCACTGTACAAGTTTTCAAATAAAAGTTGTTTACTTTTAATATTAAAAATCATATTTAGGTGACGAAAACAAAAAAGCACTGATATCACTAAATATTCTAGAATACCTCCAGCCTCTAATAAGAGATGAAAATAAGGTGGTAAAAAGAAATTCAGTACTTGTTTATGGCGTTTTATCGTCACTTCCTTCTGCAAGGTCCATCATTAGGAAACTGCCAAATATCGTTACTAATCTTCTCAAGCTTTTGGACTCAGAAGGTATGTTGTTTGTATGCTGTATTGTATTTTCCGAACCTGTTGTTTTTATGTAGAATTCGAGACAACAAAAGAATTTGCTGCGATGACATTGTCACATCTTTGCCTAGAATATGCTGGCATATACGAACTTATAGAGCATAAATGCTTCTCTGTTATTATACCTTGTTTGAAATCACCTGACCCAGATGTACAGAAGAATACTTTGGATATAATATATATGTTACTCCAGGTATTATTTGAAATATATCATTTGTTTCTGGAAGGACTTTGAGGCCCGTCCGATGCTAAAAGCTTCCGAAGGTCTGGAGACTCTGATTGAGTTGTTGGTATCGGAATATCCAGTTATTCAAGATTTGGTGTTAAAAGTATTTGCTAGAGCAACACAAGACAGTAAGTAACTTAAAGATGTTTATAATTGGCATCAAAAGGCATTACTAATACTTGAAAATACTCAAAAGTTGCTTGTATTTGAATTTTTTCATAGTCAAAGTTCTGGCACCTCTAATAAATCTGAAAAACATTATTCCTCTAATCAAACTGTTGACCAGATTATGGAGTGTTTTGGGCTAATAGTTTGCCTACCCTAATATGCGTCTATGCTAGTCGGCGTCCGATAGTAACCATTGCTCAATGCATCATGATTACACTCTTAAAGTTTTTTTCCAGCTGTCATACTGACATATCTACGATTTGCTGACATGCGTTTTAAAATTCTTAATTTTTATCGTCAAGCACATCATCTGTTAGCATTCTTACTAAAACTCTGTTTAAACCAACATTCTTAATAATATTTTAGATTTATTTCTACGGTAAGATGGACCTAGATATCGTGTGTTTCCTCCAAATACTTATGCTGAGCTATTTTTTAGTCGCGCTAATATTATTGACCTCTATACCACAATGCTTAATTTATGAGCAAGCAAGACCGTATCAGTTGGCAAATTTATCAGCAAGACATTGGCTACATCAAAACACACTAATGTGATACATTATTGGACTGAAATCATTGTCTGGGATTTTAGGACGTTGTATTTTGACAGGCATTCAAAGTGTTTAGTCAAAATGACTGTCACAATATTCAAACGTGTGGTTATTTATCGTGACGTTATTTCTACTGTTCAGCATTATCAATCCCCCAGTAAACCCTAAAATGATTTTTATAACTCAGTCATAACACTTAATTCTTTAGAACGGTAGTCAAAGAATACAATCAAGCCCAAAGGACGAACATCAAGCACTTCATTTTTTCTTATGATACAGGGTTATTTACCAAATATTTAGGGCCTACGATCAAATACTTATACTCCACGCTTATTTTACTGCTTAAGACAACTTGGTCTAGTAAATGTTCACCAAAAGCTTAACTATTACTTTGATTGAAGTACAAATGATTCAGTGACTGCTTGATACTTAGGCCAAACAATTATATTTGATTAACAAAGTATTCTCTGTGATAAAATCTTCATCACACTGTATTAGAAATCCATTTGCAATCTTAAATTAGGCGAACAATATAGCTTTTCCTGATTGGGTTAAAGAAGTACAGTATCCTGAAGATCTTGTGTAGCGACCAAAGAATGCTTATTATCTAGATAAAGCTTAGACACGTTATCGTTGTAACTGTCTTATATAACTTTCATTCAAACCTTTATCGGTACTTTTGAAGCCACAATTATGATTCTGTTAGCCTATATGAACTCATTTCAACCACTGCGATGTTTCAACCATGAGCTACTGAAAAGTATCTAAGTCTTTGTTCTGTTAAGAATAATATCACAACTCTTCAATATGGTCTACTTTTATGCCAGGATTCTCAACTTTAGAGTCCTATTACATTTTCCATGATACAATAATGTCCACTTTGACGATTTTTTAGAGGCTATCATAACGATTCTAAGGTGGTATATATGAAATAAATATTTACTTCTGAGAATGTTCCACATTTATCAGTTACCTAGCACGTGAAACTCATAGTACTTCTTCATAATGTAAAGCCTATTAAGATCAATAATCATTACTCAAGATCTTATTATTCTAATGCATCCACAATCGTTTTCTACATCAGATGGTGTTTTCTTAATACTATCGTTAGTGGTCGATCTTTGGCAATAACTAGTCCAGAATTTGTACCTAAGTCGTTTCTTATAGCGCCATGAAGAATTTCACAGTCGTTAATCTTTTCACCTTTTATTTCAATTCGCTCATTAATTAGTTGATAGATTGGATCACTTACCACCTTATTCACTCCATCCTTCAACCATTTCGTTAAGCACTCACAATTGTCTTTATTTGAATTTTTAATATTATCTAGTGCATCGCTACTTATTTGGTATAACTTATTGTTATTGTCAAGTACTTATATTTAGTAATACGGAGCCATGATGAAAAACTAAGTGAAAAAAACATTTTTCCACTCTATTCATTTTATCTGAGGCATCTTGGTAAATACAATAACTGTATTTAAGAAATTTGAATTAAAGTTTAATAGATAAGAACTAAAAATCATTCTAATTTTTGAGTATTTATAACTTTCGGTACTTATCGGCTCGATCTTTCTCCCACCTTTCTTACTGGCATCTAGATTGGTCTTGATTTATTAAATAAGGTTCAGCTACATTTTTGTTTATGGACTAACTAACTATGCTGAGTGATATATTCTATAAATGTATACGTTTTGAGATTTTATTCATGATAACATCCTTTTCCAAATAATTAATTGCTTTTCAGCGTTCATCAACTTTTTTATCAAAAAATTTTAATTTTAAAGGTATAATAAGGACAGCCTTGAGAGATATGAATGCACTGGATGCATTTGTTGATATTATTGGTGTTCCGGAATTTAACGATATACATGTTTCCGCCCTACAAGTAATTGCCAATTTACTAAACGATACTGAATGTGTAAAGGTATGTTTTGCCAAATAATTAATTATTTTTACGCAACTCGATTACTATTTGTGAAATTTTTGTAATTTGCTTGATCTCACAACAGTTCTTGTAACAAGAATCCATTTTGAGAACTCTAAGATATTCTTATCTTTAAAATTAGGTGGAGACTGATGAGGATCTGTCTTAAACGACCCTGGAGTAACACGTTCTCAAGAGGATTTGCAGGATAGTTTGTTTATGACAAAAGATAACTGTAAGTTACTACGTCAAATGAATGCTACATATGCTCATTTGAAAACAAACTCCATATTACGAGCTGTGAATATTTTGAAAATGTCATCGATGTTGACAACAAAGTTTTAAGTAACACTTTAGAAGAAATTTTCTCTTTGGATGAAAGCCCATGCTTACTCAAACTGACGTTTACAGTATATATATATATATATATATATATATATATATATATATATATGACATTTTCCGATCATATAAAGTAGGGCGATTTTATCAATACACAACGTGAACCTCAATCTACCTCTACTCATGCATTCAGAATAGTTTAATGCTGAAAGTCACTACTCTGGAAACAGGCATTGGTACATTTTAACAGGATGGTCACTGAATATAAAACAGTCTTACCATTCCTCAAAAATAAAACACTTCCAGTCTCCTGTACTTTTCCAAGTACCAGTTTATCTCTTTGCCCTCAAAATAAGCTTTGTCTTTGAATAGGGAGCAGTTTGTATTTGTCTCGATTTTTTTGACCAGAGTTCATGGTGCCTTCAATCACTAATAACTGACACCCCATTAATCCCACAAACTGTTTAACTGACGTCAGGTTTCTTACAGCTGATGGATAATCTGAACTAAATAAGATTTTAACTGCAATCAGATCTACTGATGCATTTAACTTAACCCCCTCTTATAACTGTGAAATTTTGCTCTGTGAGGTACCCTTTGCGAAAAATGTTGTGGAGGAAACTTACGTGCACTTCAGTGATGATAATTAATTCAAACAGTTGATTTCGAGAAGTTGTAAGGAGCTTACTGAAATCCACTTTTTGTAAAAAGGACACTTCAAAAAGCTATGAAAGACTTAAATCGCCATTTATATTTTTTTCCTGTTCAAAATATTTTAGTTATGCAGCTGTCATCTAGCAAAAATCTATCATTTATTCACTTTTCACAGCACTTAGTTAGTCAAGGCAGTCTTCAGAAACTATTGCATTTTATCACTGATCGTCAAGTTTACAATGAAAGTGATATCAAAGTTAATTCTGCGAATCAACAGCAAAATAAAGACAAGAATACTAAGGGAAGGAAACCTAGTCCTAAGAAGGGTGATAAGAAGAAAAGCAGCAGAGGAGAACCGGATGGTATGTTAAAAATCTATTTGTAAAATTATTTAGAGCCAAAGAGAATAGAAAAGAGGAACTTTTGCCTTCATCTAGTTATTTCTTATCAATATTTTTTTCTTATCAAAATGTTTTGCTTACGTAGAAACTAACAGAAACAAATAAATTCATTTGTAGCTTTCGTATTTATACGGAATTTATATAAGACTTAGATTTCTAGACTGCCTTAGATATTTCGAAGATTGATAATTCATATCCCAAAACTTGAAATTTATGTTAAGCCAAGGGTTGAAGTGTTTATCACAATGATAACTACAACTACCATAAAATAGATAGTTCATTCACCAACTGTTCAATACAAGTAAATTATGTTGACAACTGTAGCGTCCAAATGAATATGAAACATTTGCCCCCTTATTTAGGGGTTTACGTACTTAAATAGTAGTAAAAAATAAGTCTATTTAATTCTTTGTAAAATGAAGTAACGATAACCTGTGCATAGTAAATATTTTACAACAGAAAGCCTTTTACTTTTGCTTATAATTCTAAGGATAAATTACCACAATTATTTATATAATGCCTTGATTCCATATGATTGGTGAACAACTATTACTGTTAAACAGTAATAATTTATTTTCTAAACGTAAACTCCTGGGATGAACGTAAAAAGGTATATAACTAATTAACCAGTCCTATGTAGTTTTCAGAAGTCTAGTTTTAAAAAATTTAAATTCATTTTATCATCTTTTTGATTGTTGTAAGTAATAAGACATCATTATTTACTGATCGCGAGGTGGGATCGTGGATGCGCATTGCTAAGGTGTACCACAATAGGACGAAACGGCCGTCCAGTGCTTCCAGATTTCCCATGGTGTTCTAGCTTCAATTGACTCACGATCTCAATTACTAAAATTGATCATATATAGTTTAAATATTGTGTGATTTATTCATTTTGGTTCAGTGAAGTACAGGAGTCAACATGAATGAAACTAGAACAGTCATATGGATCGTTTCTAAAACGCTAAGTAATATATATATATATAACTATTACTTTAATACTTGATTAGGGAAAAAAGATGAGGAGAAACCACCGTCAAATACTTTGCCAGAAGCGAAAATTCACACATGTAATGCACTTATGAGAGCTGCATGTAAAGGTTAGTCAATATTAAAGGTTATCATTAATGTTTATTGTCGACAGTGTAATGTGCTTTCATCCTGTCCTACAATTATGAGACGTTAGTTAATCCTACCTGTATAACTAGAAGTTCTCATATTTCATTTTTAAGACTTGCTATAAAAGAATTTTTGACGAGACTATAATTTATGCACGACCTTTGAAGGAATCTTAAATGGCTTTGAGAAATAATGGCCAATCAGAAAACGGTTAGTATAGAATTAAAATATATCGAAATGGATGCACTTCTTTTACATGGTTACAATATCGATATATCTCTTGAACGATTCTAGCTCATTACCATGGTATGTTCGCAAATACAGTGTTTACGATACCTAGATGAACCTGAAACGGAGCCCACTCTTAGACAATTCAATATTGCGATTTTGTTGAGTGTTTGCGTAGCATGTGTAACCTAACTATTTTGATCAGAGTTCGTAGGTCAATTTAATCTACACAAAAAAGATCAGAAAACACTATATCAGGGCACATACATTATTTTTCCAGTTATTATTATTCAGTTTTGATGACCGTCTTCAAAACTCTTCACTGTAGCCTTTCACGAACAGCTCAAGTTTACAGACATGACATTTTTTCAAAGATTTTTCATCAACATGAACTGTTAAATATTGATAACTTATTCTGCTAAAGCATGCTACATGCATTCATATGTTTGATTGTGCAACACTTTACTATACTGCTGGTCGGCTAGATACTAAACTGCACGTCACACACTGAAGTTGTGTCTAAATTGATTTAATTACTAATAGAAGAGATTGTCCAGGGAAGTATTGAGCAGTAGTTATACTCTCCAAATGTCAACTGTTTAACAAATTACATGCTGTTATAATTATATTGTTTGCTATAAAAACGACCCAGTTATTCCTATTGCTTAGTATTCTTATACGATGACACTCGACAAGACCCCAAAATCAGAACACGTTGAACAGGAATGAAATTGTATTCAAATAATAATGATAAGTGAACAGCAATCAGCAATCAATAGTTTAAATATCGTTCATATATTTATAGTATATACATAAGAAGCTTATAAATTTTTCTGCAATAATATGCCCGGGCTGATCGGTTTAAAATTAACCAATCAGCGCGCAGCAACACCATCATGCATAAAACATGCTTAGTCCAATCTATATCCCACTAACACCTCCCCCTTGAGCAGATTCGTAGGATCTGGTGTTAGGGTCCAACTGCAACCGCTTTACTGGTTTGAGCTTCCGGTTAATCCACCTTCTAGGTAATAAGGACGTTGTATCATCCTTCGTTTGCACTTTGACTGGCCTGTCTGTTTCAGGTGTTTTGATCTCAAAGGTGTCTAGCAGAACATCAAGAGGTAATCTATGCTGCGTTTCGTTGTTGGAGATCGAGGTTGATTTCAGTTGGTTAGCGTGACGCACCCAGATTTCTGAACCAACGGACACCTCGTAAACCACATTTCCTTTCTTTTGCACGATCCGACCAGCTATCCATGTAGGATGTTTTCCTCGATAGTCCATAGCAAGTACCTTTTGACCCACACTGAACAATCGTTTTTGTGCCCCATGATGACTATTGTACTGTTTCTCCATCATCACTTTTCGTTGCGGCTTAAGAGCTGGAGTCGGACGAATGCTGTCAAAATGTGTACGTATTTTTCTGCCAAGTAACGCTTCCGCTGAGGAGACTCCATTTGTTGTCTGAGGGTTCGGTGTCGAACGGTGTATAAACAAGAACCTCTCTAAGATCTCTTCGGTGTCCCCCTCCCCTCTTGATTTTTTTAGAGCATTTTTGAACGTACCAACAAAACGTTCTACCTGGCCATTCGATTGCGGATGGAATGGAGGTGTTCGGATGTGTCTGATTCCGTTCTGCTGACAAAATTCTGAAAAGTCTTTTCTGACTTCACCTGACGACACTGGAGTGTTTCGAATCGCCGCTGCTGCTACACTCCGTATTTCTGGAACCTTTGTACCTGTCTTTTTTGCATATGAAGTGGTGTCTAATGATGGACACGACACGTTACACACGCTGTTGATGGGTATATCCATTAATCCAAGCTTTTCTAACATATCTAGACCAAGTAGATCAAGGTTTGGTCGTTCTGTTAGATAGCATACTTCTTTACAGCTATTTCCATTGAAGGAAAATTCACATTGTAATTCCCCAATTAGCTTCAGTACACCTCCAGATACTTTTTAAGCCGTTTTCTTGGATGGCTTCATTGGCGGTTTTCCCAGCAAGTTATAAGTCTCTCTAGACACTAGAGTAATATCAGATGCTGTATCAATTTGAAGGCGAGCCGCTATACCATTAATCTGGATCGTAACATACTTTCTCCGAATGTCATAGTCTGTTTGAAAAGCTGCTACCAGAGAAAGTGATTTAGATTCGGCTGACTTTATGTGTCGAGGACGTTTGTGCTTCTGCTTAGGCTGGGACGTATGATTTGGAGGACAATGACCTTCTTTGTGCCCACGTTTGTTACACATCTGACATTTATGTTTCTTGAATGGGCAGAATCGTACATAATGCCAATCACCACATAACCAACATGCAGTCATTGGTTTGCTACCACTTGTTTTCGGTTCCTGAACTTTTAACCTAGTAATAGCATTGACACTACTGCAGGTTAAATTAGGATTTACCTGTTCAATCATCTGATTGTCGTGTCTGATGTTCTGTAGCCGCTTACACTCATCTGTTAACGTTCTGAGTGTGATGTTAGGATCTTGATCCAAACGAGTTAGAAGTCTAGTTCTAATCTCAGCATCTTGAGGTGACTGCAGAGCTTTGATGAATACAAGGCATTTAAATTGATCTTCTGTCAACGAGCGTAACTTGAACCGTTCACACTCTCTGTTGACGATGTCTGCTAAAACACCATATTCATCGGTTTCTCGTTTCACCAAATTAAGACACTGGTAGCGAATACTAAACAATGAGGAAGATTCACCGAATATTTCTGACAGCTGAAATACTGTCTCCTCGAAACTGAGCTCTCGAGGTAACTTTGGTAATATATGATCAGCATAGCGTGCATGTTCATGACTTCCCAACTTGCGCATCAACAGTCGAGTCTTCCATCCGTCGTCTTGATTACAGAACTCTATTCTTAATGTATCTTCCCAACGCTTGAACCACGTGAGAAATGTATTGCCACATTCAGGGTCATAATAGAATTCTGGGATGCTGCTGGCAACTGCATCACAAGAAGAAGTACTTGTAGTAGTATGTGAACTCGAGTAGTGTATGTTAAGCTGTTGTGTCAGAGTTTCTAACAGGCGCATTTGTGCGTCAAGTTGTGCTTGCTGTTGTTGAAGTATTCGGCTGAGCTGGTCATCTGATATAGGCATTTTGAATGAATTTTCCTTTTTCCCCGTCGCCACTGTTATAATTATATTGTTTGCTATAAAAACGACCCAGTTATTCCTATTGCTTAGTATTCTTATACGATGACACTCGACAAGACCCCAAAATCAGAACACGTTGAACAGGAATGAAATTGTATTCAAATAATAATGATAAGTGAACAGCAATCAGCAATCAATAGTTTAAATATCGTTCATATATTTATAGTATATACATAAGAAGCTTATAAATTTTTCTGCAATAATATGCTCGGGCTGATCGGTTTAAAATTAACCAATCAGCGCGCAGCAACACCATCATGCATAAAACATGCTTAGTCCAATCTATATCCTACTAACACATGCTTTTTTCCGTACTATATAACTATGCGTACAAAATCCTCAACTGAGCGGTGGTGTGAAGTATAATTTTTCGGGCGAAAACCAATTCACTTTATGAGGTCAAAAACTTGAGTAAACCAAGTAATTAGAATAGTTGTAGTTGCGTTAACCAACCTAATGTTTAACACAAAATCATACAATGGGTTGGTAAAATATTACAATCATTCATTGGATACATCATTTACACATCTTCTTTGTGCTGTCCTTTACGCACTCCATTATTCCTCTAATTCTCTTGTTATTTGGATTGCTCTCAGACTTCCTTTCTGTTCACATCATTACGATCTTCTGCTGCCAGGCATTCCACTTCCGATTGGTGTTACATACTACTTACATCTGTCTACATAACTAGCATACACTATATAGTTTGTTAGATATATATAACTCACTCTAACGCATAATGGTAAATGAGTTAAGATCAAGCTACCATGAGTAAATGATCAATAACAGACTAGATAGCACAGATAACAAAGCCAGTAAGATATAGACTGTCGGAACAGTTGGTGTGAGCAACTAAATGTTTCCTAAAATGTTGTACACAGAACACTACTATTTAAGATATAAGATCATAGAACTTACATTTACTCTTTTACCTATAAATATGTTAAATTTAGCCTGATCTAAATTATCTTGAGTTATTTTCCATCTTTTTTTTATTTTAATCTCTTATATTTTGGTTCTTTATAATAGCAATCTAAGTGCATTCAGTACTTTTTCAGATATTACAATGTGTTATTTATTTTTATTAATCTTAAAAATTCCTTACTTCATGCACTGCATTTGATTTCAAACCAATTTATTTTTTCCGTGTTATTTTAGAAGAAACAAGAAAAATTTTACACGATGCAGATGTTGAAAGAATGTTAGTATCACTATTATCTCATGAAGATGAAGGTGTACGATCCGCATCAGCACAAGTTATTGCTATATTGTCAGAAAGTTCAGTGTGCCAGGATAGAATAGCTGAATTAGGTGAATACATAATAGAAAATGAATATTATACAATGGACAGATTTTCTTTTGTAACCGTTGAAACACGTATTAACAGTAATAAAAACAATTTGTAATTAAAACATTTAGATTTCAATCAATAGGATACTAGTTTGTAAACTTAAGAACATTCATTGTAATAAGATAACAGCAATCTGATAAGTACCTAGATTACATAATAGTCTATTATGTAGCAGTTGGAAAGGAACGTTTAAAGGGATTATTATGAGTCAATTAGTTAATAGATGTAAATATATAGAGTAAACCAATGAGGACTTAAACGATGACCTCCATAATGATAGTTCCATATATTTCCGATTTTATATGTATTTGATGATTACACGATTCCGTAAGTCTGAAGTAAAAAGTTTAAAGGAAATAACAAATCGCATACTAGGAGATTAAATTAATTATAACTCGCAAATTTACTGTTTATATTTATTCACAACCCTAAGGATAATGGTCCCAAGTCTTAAAGTAAGTTTATTTTTGTTTTGTGAAATGTTGTCACTACTAATGTCTACAGTAAAGATATATTGATACAACTATAAAATTTTCTAGTCTTACTGTTTAATGAAGACAGCTCATTGTAGATTAAAAAAGGCAGGATATTTAAGAAAAAGATGAAAATGTTTAATGAGCAAGTCATTGCAAATTCGACTACACAGAGATTCATGTTTGAATATTATGTTTATTGGTATTTAATATGTCTGATTTTTAGTTCAATACACCTTACCATTTTCGGAAACTGGTAACCCAACTGCAGAAAACTTTAACTTTTCATGTTTTTTAGAGGCGAGCATATTCATTAGCATGAATATCTTATTCACTCCATATATCAATGTTTTTGAAACCGCATAATAAATTAGTCATATGCTTATTGAAAGTGTCAATCTAAACTACATACCATTAAGTATCATGTCTTTCTAGAACTAATTTTTCATCAAACGCATTTTAATAATATTTGGAATTTCGCCATTCTTAAACATGGTCGTGACTGAGGTATACAGACCAAATTTGATTGAAACTGAATTGAGAATTTTACTTGGCTAAACTATCCATTTTATCCTAAATCAATTAAAATACGACAGAAACTTGACATAGGTAATCTACTGTTTGTCTTAACCCACTGTATTTCCATTAATACGGGACAATAAATCACAATATGTGGTCATTCGATGGTTGATTTCGAGCTTCTTCAAATCTCAAAAGTTATTATGATATTGAATATTACTATTTCTATGAAATGCAACACACTTCGTGATGTATGTAGAACTTCAGTCTTCATTCAAAATATTTACTGAGAAGTTCATTTTTAAATACTAGATAATTTGAAAAACAGGTATCATTACCAAGATTCGATTCGATAATTTCAAATAAATTGAACGTTGAGTAGATTGTTATAAATAAAAATAGTATATTTGTAATATCATTGACCTTTTCAGACCTGTCTTTTGATTGATCGTACCTAATATTCTTCCTTTGTACAATCTAAACTTCGATTAATTTTGATTTGGTTGTTTTTTCCTTGAAGAAATGGCTCACACTAAGTCACGGAACGTGAGAAAATTAAATTTTTCTACTCATTGGGAGATCATAAATATATTATTTTTATTTATAATTTCAAAAACATTTCGGCTTTAAATTTTATAGACAGTTATAGGGATCTTACAATCTGAAATATGTATAATTAGTTGATAATATTAAACCACTTGGCTTGGAATCGGTTACAGTGATACAGATGATTTCATTACATTTTTCTATAATTCTCAATCTAGCCCGATAAGGACAAGTTCTTTTATATATTGAGGTTTTTCTAGACTGAAAGTTGAAAGGATTCATAAAGCCTACCTATTCACTGTTATGATGTACTGTGACAATTTTTCAGATTTTTTTACTGGTTGAAAATCCTGGACAATCCAACTCTATCAACTATTTCTCAAAAAGACGAAGAATAAATGAGAGATTTTATTGAGTTAGGAAAAGTGTGATTACAAATGATGTAATACTCGATTCTAAAATTTTAAATGATAGAAACTTTTCAGGACATACTTATATTCTGATTAATTGAATTGATTCATCACTCAAGAAGAGTTTAATCACCACTATTCAAATAAAAATAGTAACGTCCACGAAATTTGTGAAGCAGTGAATTATTAATTAAGGCATTAGGCTTTTAACCACTCAGTTCCTAATTAGCACTTCCTTCTACTTGATTTATTATAAGAAACTTTTTGGTATCACTGATCTTCACATAAACATTATGGCTGAAGCCGGAGTATATTGATCTAGACCTCATAAATGAGCTGCATCATAATTCAGAGTAAATTTTCATCCTTGATTTTCAGGAGCAAACCTATTAGCTACTCTTTGTGCTACAGGCTGATTTCCTAAATGTTTGGTCATCACACAAACATTAACAGAATAATTTAGTTTGGTTATTTAAAAACAGAGAACCTGTGATAGAAGTTGATGATGGATCATCAACAGGTGATCCACATAACTTCGCAGCCCAGTGAAATGTCTATATTATTTTAGTCAGTTCGTAGTAGATTCAAGTATAACCGCAAACAAACACGGAAGAATCAGACAATTGAACAGTGGATAGGAGTAAATGAGTATGTTAGGCTTCTTTATTAGTAAAAACGAGGTAATATGAATGAGACTACCGTTTGCTACCTAATGTTTCCGTTCTTTTACATACGTAGGTGGACCGGAATTACTTATTCGTATGACACGAAGCGATCATCGTGAACTTAAATCAGCTGGAGCTACAGCATTGGCTGCTTTGACTACCGGAAATGGATCGATTTGCCGGTAACTTATTTAAATTGCTCGCTTTTACACATTATTTTATGTCCGATCATATCCTGGCTCGAAATCCTTGTGCATGATAGTTATGCCTAAATACTGAGATCCTGTAGGGGTTTTACTTGTTTGGTGCCTTATTTCACGCTTTCTTTCCCTAAATTATATTATGTACAAAAGTTATGAGAACTTATAAAGTAGTCAAATAAAATCACAAAGCCAAAATAACTAGTAGCCAAGTATTGTTCTAAACTAGCCTCAAACGTTTCGGATCGACGTCATCAATATGGGTAGGATCTATGACAGAAGTCACGAGAATGTGTTTTCAAACTAAATAATATCGTTTAGATTATTTTTCTGTTTCTCTTTATTTCACATATTTAAGCTTAATAGTTTTCTTATCCTTTCAAGTAGTTGTGTGTCCGACTATACTCTGTGTTTTTGTTCACTTTTTCTGAGTTGTAGATAAAATGTCCTCAAGAAGTTCAGTTCTCCAGCAACTCCATTTTTTTCCTGTAGTTCCCATTTCAAAACCACACAATTTATGTTTAAATATAATCCATTGTATTGATACTGGTTTCATTTTAATTTTCTTTTGTAGAGAGGTTGCAAGTCGAAATTCAGGGCTTGAGGCATTGCTTAGTTGTTTACATATAAGTGATCCTGAAGTTGATTTAATTACAGTAGGTGGATTAGTTGCACTGACGAATTTGGCTATTGAAGAAACTACTCGACCAAAAGTTTTACATGTAATAACGGCGAAATTATTTATACCAACTCTTAATTCAAAGTTAGTTTATTATCTTTTTGTAAAAACAGAATATTCTAATCTTTAAAAAATTTTTGTTATACCAGCTAAACTTGATATCATGTGAAATAATTTCCTCTTAGTGATATGACCAATCAGGTTAACATTATAATAGAAATGAATTTGTATTGATAATACACAAATCGAAAACCTGGAAGCACTGGACGGCCGTTTCGTTCTATTATGGGACTCCTCAGCAGTGCGCATCCACGAACCCGCTCTCGCGAGCGAGATTCGAACCCAGGACCTACCAGTCTCGAGCCGAAGCCCTTAACCGATAGACCACTGAGCTGGCATCCAACGGTGTTAATGTCTAACTTCAACCAATCCACGATATTGAGCGACCGTTCACCAATTGTCCTCAGTGAGATGATATATAAGCAATATAAGCAACCTAAAAATTACAATGAACAGGAATTAGCCGATTGTCTCACTAACGGGAAGAACTATTTCGAAAGCAATAGGTTTATCGTACCGATTACTTAGAGAAAATTCCACATTGTAATCGAATCAGTACTCAGTTCCTAATGTTTGCTGGTATCAGTGTTTATTCTCATAAATTATGTATTCATTGGGAAATTATTAGGGTATATTTAACCAGAAATTGTGCATTGTTAGATTTTAGTGAATTCAAGAAGGTAACGTGTGTCGGTCTTGTTTGAAATTCGGCATCGTTTTCGGCAGTTTCTGTAACACTAATCAAATTCAAATAAGTTTATCAACCTTGTTTACCATAACAATCTTCAATTAATTCATCAACCATATGGCTGTTTTCCAATCTGTCCCGGTTTCAAGATTCGTAAAGTGATGTATATGAAGCTGGCTAAAATTCAATATCTTGAACATTAAATGCTAAGGTTTACAGAAATACATTTTTTATTATGTTGCTTCAATCAAAACTTCTGACTCAATTACTGAGTCACCAGTAAATTCCTGAGACTAAAGCGAAACATATTTTGATACACGGTACTATTATTACGGAAATATATCCAAGATATTAAAAGCCTCATTTCGTGACGTGTCTACAACCTTTATCATGTCGGTATATAGCCAAAGGAAAAATGACTCATGAAATAGCTGTTTAAAGACTATTTATAGAAAAACAGGGAATGGGGATGCCTGTATCTAAAACATAAATAAGTTTCAGCTCTGATAATAAATTAAATGAATGTTACAGGCACGGGTAAACACATAACGATACCATACAGAAACGGTAGGACGTAAGCAAAATGATTGAAAATAAAGTTAGTTACTGAATATTATTAAATAGTACTAGTGATGCACAAAAGTTATTCGAATACATTAAATGTAGAGGTCAGAAGTGCCAAAAAATGACAGAGCATTTAACGTAACAGAGATTATTTGAGCATGTTTCATCTGTGACTAAAATTTAAACGAAGGATGTTTTTGGAAGTTTTGCTGCTAGGTTATTCCTGATAAATAATGTCCTATATAAAATGATTACTACGTATATTTAGCTTTCATCACTTCCGAGTACGATAACAAACAATACTAACGGGCAATAAACTGGCCTTGTTGAAGTGATGTGTCTAAAATACCGCTGGGGAAATTTGTGGCATCCCTAAAAGTTGGTTGGTGTGACTAAATTCTATGTTTTTGATGAATTTTGAAGAAAATTTCATGACACAATTACAAACGTTTAATATTTTAAAAATAAAAATTTCATCGTTTTGTTTCTAAATTAATTTAGTTCAGTATTAACTCAATCTAAAGCTGCATTAGCAGTGGCTTCACTGATATCCGAACCACATACTGTCCAACAATTCGTTCAGCTAGGAGGTTTATCGAGCTTACTCAATTTAATTCAGTCAACAAATAATGATGTGCGTCGTTCAGCATGTTGGGCTATCGCTTCATTAACTGCTGACCATACAGCTGCTGTAACGTTATCTCGATTAAAGTAAGTATGGTCCTGTTGCTTTGTTTGCCAATTATTTAGACGGAGTTCTCCCTTCAACAATAAAATACTTATTACACGGACTGAAAAATGAAGCTGATTTACTAATAAAGTGAAGTATTTCCAAAATATTAATTCGGAAGTGAGAGTTCCACAACCTAGAGAATTCGGTTTAAAATAGTCTCCCTTACATATTAGGCCTTTTATACTTTCCTTTCGGTCTACTGTACATAAGTGATAGCTGAATTTCGAGCCACAATTTTGTTTCACGTTTAGTTGCATTGAGATGTTGAGACCAAGGTGCCTCGGGTGTTAAATTCTTTAACCAGTAAGACAACATTCCATAAATATAAAAGTATACTTCTTATCATAACAGTCCTATCTGGTATAGATAATTAAGGTCCATTCGTAATAATTACTCATATTCTGTGGTGAAATTGTTATGTTTTAAATTGAGTACATACTCTTAAATGTTTTATTATTCACGTCAAGAATATTGGAATTAAAGTGATTCATTCCAGATATTTCAATTGTTGAAATTCATTCATACATAAATTAAATGAGGTAATTAGTCCATGCTATATGACATCAACATTATCGACTGTTATTCAAGTAGAATGGTGTACAACTACTAAATGCTTAATAGGATTCACAACACGAATCAAAATTACTTTAAATTTATAAATTTAATCTCTGAAATCATACATTTCAGATTACTAATATTTCCTAATTATTATTAATTCAATCATACATTTCATCATATAAGAACTTTCGTCTAAATTAGAGCGAATAGTTTCACAGTATTTGGGCGCCGAGTTGATGTAAGACATTAAATAGGAATAATATATTTGTAAAATCATGAATTTGAAGTAAATCTAACGTTTCGCCTGGCAATCTGGTCCAAGGTTTTTCAAGGAAATAGAACCAAACATTCATTCGCTGAGATTTTACAAATATATTACTCCTATTTAATGTCATACATTTCATCAGTTAACCTGTTTCCTTGTTCGAAATTATTGCAGTAGACTAATATTCCGCAAATTTACTCAATAGTTTTTTTTCTCAAATTTTAGTGGGATAACTATTTTACAAACATTGAATGAATCCATAACACGTAAAAATGCTTTTACTGAATTAGCTTTAAAACGTGTACTGGATGCTAATTTAATGGCGAAATTCGCATTAACTGGTTACTTAGGTATGTATTTATAGCTTTAATAGTTTATTTAAAGTCACTTGTTCAGTACATTATTCAATAAACATTAGGAACGTATCCATAGACTTCTTTACAGGAGTTGAGCTGATATCCATCATTGTCAGACAGTATGAATATGTAAATAGTTTGGATCAGCTGAGTATACGTGTAATATTTCATTATGTCCATGTATGGTCAGCTGGTGCTTTAAACACTAGACTTTAGTCCCATCTATTTCAATCTAAACTAATCAAAGGTTTACCTAAAGTGATTACAGTCACACAACTTTCTTCTTTAAATCATACCTGTGTTCTTTTTCATTTGTTTTACTGTGGCCTCAAGTACATTCCTATCAGAATATTTATCAAAGTCTGTAATATCCAATCATTAGTTGTATTATTTAGTGGCAGCTTTAATTGACTTCTGCTAGTTTTATATCAACTGATTAACTTACATTTCCAAATGGAGCGATTATCAAGTGAATTATCACTGAAATTTTTCTAATCGTTTTAAAAAGTAATAAGCTGCAATAGATGTTCACCCATGTGGAAAAAACGTTTAGATAGTTGGCTCTGTCTTTACCTGATGTTCAAAATGTTCGCATACTAAATCTTAAAATAATTGAGCTATGGAAAAACAAGGATTATACATATCTTGTAGCCGGTATTATATCAGTTATTTTTTCAGTTGGATATGTCTCTTTAACTTGATGCATGAAAGTATAAGTTGTAATAGTAATTCACAGATTCACTAATAGTGAGGACAATAAGAATCAGAATAAAATGTATAAGTTCAACGAGTTCGATGTTAGTGAACATATTTAGAAACTTGTGATTATTTCTTCGTAATAATCAGGACGTTTTCACACATACAGTTAAAGTTCTACCAATTCGTTGCTATTTCAGTTTGTGTTATTACTTTACTTGTTTAACAACATATAAAGCAACGAATTAATATATGCCTTACATATAATGAAATGAAATTGTTAATAAATATGGGAAGGAAGAGTATTTTAATTAGAAATAAACAAATGAAAGATAGGTGATCGAGGATCTTTTGTAATAAGCAAGATGTATATTTATAAACATTGCAACCAGTAACAATTCCTTCACTCATAAAGTTCCTTTAACTTTTATGAACAACGAGAAAGGAAACTAAAGGAGGCTTGTTATTGGCTTCTAGTCTATGTAATATCCAATGACATATCAATCCACTGAGTTGCACCATCTCGATGACTCCGACCAGCCCCATATCATAAACTAATTACCTACTCTTTTTTTCCCAACAAGTTCCAGCGTTGTCAAGCAATGCACGCTATGGAATTCTCTGGGAAGACATTCGTTGTACATACCTGAGCAACGGGAAACGTTGTTTCACGATGGTGACACTAACTGAATAGTCTTGATTGTGTTCGAATATATTTTATGGAACCTCTGTATCACTGATATTGTGTTTTTATCAAGTGTCAGCAATTCTTTTAAAGACAACGATTATCGAACAAAGAGAGTCACCAAACATACCCCGCTCAGAGAAACTGGTTTACACAAATATAGAGCAGAATTACTCTCATCGGATCAGAGTAAGCCTGACCTTCTGCAGTCAAAACAATATCACAACGGCTATAAAAATGACTCTGGTTAATATAAGATGCTCTGACTTTCACTATCCGTAGACTGATCTCATCACTCACGCCACCCCTAACACTCACACAACTATCCAAATACATGTAACTGATTCTAATGGCTTATCTCAAAGAAAGAGTGCAACCACAGGGTTCTGCCAGTCTTGTGAAGGCACTTTGTACTTAGAAGGTGTTTATGTACAGGAACCGCAAGATTTTAATGAGGTTCTCAAGTATACCCGTCCTCAAAAGACCGTCTCAGAGGAAAGTCCTGTCCATTGAATCCAAGGCAACACTGACATAAAGAAATGTCACTATTGTTGGCCATCAGTAAGTATAGTGGTGCTCCAACATTTAGTGGAGAGCTAAGATGTGATCACTACATCCACAATCAGAACGACATTCAGATAGTAAGTTTGTTACGCGTCTTGAATAATCTACAAATTCAGATGAAAGGCAATAGTTTGTACACAGTCGGAAGTAGACTTACCTTTCATGTCAGTTGTTGCATGAGTGACGTAGACACTAACTGAAATACTAAGAATAACAGTCGCTTCATTTGATGGTGTTGGATTTACATATAATCAACCGTCTCCTATTTTAACGACCAATAATTCGTCGTGTAGGAGTAGGTCAAGAAGAAGCTTGGAGCAACGTGGTGTCACTTCATAAAACAACTGGCTTTTGGTATGAGCCATGTTATTAGTTATAGACTAGCAGTGATTATCGTGACTAATGTCGGGAATGTTGAGTGACACAACTCAAAATTGGTCAAATTAGTGCTGGTGCACTCACTATTTGTTGTCTTAGATCTTGAGCTTTAAGATTATCTTATCTCAAATAACGTTATCTATGGCTAATCTTCTTGCCATTGATACTATTACTGTTTCGACAACTTTTAAGTTTACCTTGATAATTTCATATCATTGTGCCAAAATGATTTGTCGTTTCTAAGTCACTCATGCTGACTGACTGGCCACCAACTACACATAATACTTAAATTATTCTTATTCAGTTCATTATAATATAAGCTTTATCATTTTTAGGAAATTGAACTAATGGATAAAGTATTATTAAATTAAAGTAGCACTAAATATTTTGAGGTGATAATGTTCTGTTTTTTATTTTAATAGATTTTGTAGATCATATACCAGATTTATTTTATGATCCTGGTCAAATAACTGATCCATCTCAATTCTTAACACTGGATGAATATAATGAGCAATCTGTGAATGACCGTCGACCAATATTTTTAATAAATTTACAAAAATGGTCAGCATCTGGAAGTTAAATTTTTGCGTAAATTTTTGTTTACACATTCATTCTGTTATAACCCTCGAAGTTTCCTCGTCTTGACGAGTGGGACGTTAATTTGAATTAGACGAATATCTACACTAGATCTCCTCCCAGTGTTTATTCTACAGGACTTCAACACAACTCACATCAAGAACACATGACTAGCCTGGCTAGAACGTTAATATATTTCCACACCAAAATCCGACACAACACAACAACACATTGACAATCCATAATAATAAATAATAAACTGGACAGAAGAATATATAACACCTCTAACGCCTGTCAGATTATCTGCAAGTCTAGCTCACACATAACATTGGTACTTTTAGTAATCGAATCCCATGCTCTATGACAACTTGGTTTGATCCGATTTCATCCTATTTATTCACAAAAACTTTTCACAACTTGGTATATGCTTTTATTCCCCCAATATTTTTATTATGAATTGCATCTATTTTAGGTATATGTTTTCTGCCTAAATTGTAGGTACAATACGTTGACAAGTTTGTACTTAATTAGCTTCGAATGTTGCATGGTATGAATTCACTTCTAATTCTGTTCATAAAAAAGAATCCCTTCTGTAGGCCAATGACAACTTGTTATGCTACTGATTTTTTAATTTTATGATTAACCATTATAGATAATCGTAAAACACTCCGATACTGATCAACAAGGTGAATCTGCAACATGCTCTCGTAGGACATTGATTTAATATTACTCAGCTGTATGGCCATGGATACAACACTGATCTATTTGAAGCACAATTTCATGCTATCAAGTGAGAGATCTGAGCTCAGGGATACTTCTTATTTCTTTCTTAGTTAACGATATTGATTCCAACATAGGCCATTATCAAATCATTTAACTTGATAACGATATCTGAGACTTTATCAATAAAATCCATCTAATTTTCAACACGACTTAATAACATGAGTCTTTGTCTTATGGTTACATTATTTTTAATTCTTTAATTTTCAAGCCGTTGTTTGTAGTCTTAAAAATGATATATTGACATGAAAGTAGCCCAAAAGTCAAAACTAAATTCAATTCAAATTTACATATGAATAGAATAAATTAGAAATACTGGAAATCTGTATCTTTTATATTTAATTCTGACAAGAGAATTTTTTCGATAGACTTTCTTAACTAATTGTTCCGTAAATACATGATAAGTCATTGAGACAATTTTCTATTTTGTAAGTGCTCGCGCGCGAGACTGATAGGTCCTGGGTTCAAATCTTGCGGGTCAGGGTCGTGGATGCGCACTGCTGAGGCGCCCCACAGTAGGACGAAACGTCTGTACAGTGCTTCCAAGTTTCCCATGGTGGTCTAGTTTCAATTGACTCATGATCTAAACCATATAAAATTACTAAAACCCCCACAAAACCCCCTTCCGAATTAGACAAATATTAAAGTAACCACCAAGTTTTGGATAACCACTTTTTTATTGTAGAATAAAATAAATGCTTACTGACTACTTATAACTGCCTAATATTACTGCTTACTTTCTAATTTTTAATAAGACTGAATTGTGATTTAATAAAACCTTTTTCTGATTGAGGCTTTATCATAAGAATTGGTAGAACTATGTGTTTTTTTTAATCTCTACTAACAGTGATATTGTTTCATCGTCAGATTGTGTACAGTCACAAGTTTCGAGTGATACCAAAACTGATGATTTGAAACAGGATGATTTAAATTATTTCAATGAAATGAAATATCCTTTTGATTCTACATTACATGATTGGTTAAATACTGCAGTTAAACAAATTACGCCAATAAATGAATTAAAAGAGCAAATAAAGTCTTTGGGAGAGTAGGTTTAATTTTAAGTTGTTTATTTAATGTTTTGTAAATTTGATTTTTGTGAAATAATCGATCTAGTAGTGAAATTTTGAACAAGTGTTTTGCTCTGTTTTAACATAGTTAATAGCATATATTATATAGTTGAGATCATGAGTCAACTGAAGCTAGACTACCATGGAAAACCGGGAAGCACTGGATGGCAGTTTCGTTCTATCGTGGGACTCCTCAGCAGTGCGCATCCACGATCCCGCCTCGCGAGATTCGAACCCAGAACCTATCAATTTCGCGCACTGCTGTGGAGTCCGACGATAGGACGAAATGGCCGTCCAGTGCTTCCAGGTTTTCCATGATGGTCTATAGTCAATTGACTCATGATCTCAACTTTATAAAATTCCTAAAATCTTCACAAAACCCCCCTTCTGATAATAGCATATATCTTTTTCATATTTAGATTTAGCTAAAAGTCATGAATTTTAATAACAACTGACATTAAATTGATATCATAAATCATCTTCTGTAAATAGAAGTTCAGTAGCTTATGTTCCGTTGTCTATCACATTTCAAACAGTATAGTTTTTATATTTGTTAGTGTTTTTACGCGTCTATGAAATTAAATTCACGGTATTTCTTTCGTTAACTGTATTCTGCATTTTTCCAAACGCTTTATGTATCACTCTTTTTGTAACTTACACTCAGGCAAATTTTGCTACTTCGTCGATCTAACAGTAGTTTTAAAAGTAGCTCGGATCAATTTTAACGATATCAATTAAGGGGTTATGAAATAACAAAAATCACTTTCCAGCTGTTTCCTTATATCTTAAAAATATTTGACAACAAACAACAGTAGGAACAAAATTGCTGATCCGATGACTTCAACATTAATTCTTCAACAACTCATAATGAGTTTCATCGAACATTATGGAGTATAAATCATAACGATCATCAAAAACAAAAATTTGTCTTATTTCAGGAGGTTTCATATGTTTAAAAAACGTTCCTTACTGTATAAAATTATTTCTTTCGTTTATTTGTTTTACATTCCCAAGATTTGTTGCTTCTTGTTATGGAGGATCAGTCAGCAAAGATGAACAAATTACTCTAAGAAATGAATTATCTCTGGCACAGTTACGATGTCAATTAAATTCGAACTTAATACCAATTGGTTTAATTAAACAAGGATCTTTTCTACAACGTGCATTGGTTTTTAAAGTAAGTATTCTACTTCAAATATTCGGTTTACATCTAGATTTTGTTGAAGCTACAAGTCACTCATGGTTTAGAGTGAATTCTATTTTTAGTACGTATTTTTATCAATAACCATAACATAAATTAAAGTTTTAATCGGAGTTACACCTAGCCAATCAACTGACGATAAATTCTGTTGCATATATTCTTAGATTCAAATTCACTTTTAAACAATTAGTGGAACGTTGATTTACTCAAACCTCTGGATATAGGAAACCAAAACACGCATTACCCTTATTACCAAGTAACTTGAGGGTGTCGATAAAATCAACATGTAAGATATCCGTAACTCGTAATCGTGATATTAAGTCAGCAAACTGTAACAATAAAAATAGTGAACAGAAAAGATGTTCATAATTATTCCGTGGCAAATCCATTTTGCAAATTAGTATGAGAATTGAATCTCGAAGATTTTCAACAAGATTATTTATTACGATAGTTAATATAATAATTATCTAGTGTACTATATGTCACATAAGTCAATTACATTTTCTCTCTTTAATTTATTCTACAAAACTATTTACTTGTTACAATTAAATTGGAAAGTATATATTGAGTTTATACTTATTGTTTCCTTGAATAAATGACCTTTTTAGAAAATGTGAACATCCGACAATGTTCTGAAGAAATAACCTTTAAATGGATGACTATTAAAAACTATAGAGTACTAAATTGTTAGCTATCTGGTCAGTCTATGTCGTAAACTACCTTCATAATGAATAATCTCTACACAACTTTTATGCCGTTTTTTCTTTTTTCCCGAAACTATATTTGTTTTTTAATTAATTTCTTCCAAAATAAATTCAGTTGCTTGCTGATCGAATAGGATTGCCAACTAATTTAATACGTGGAACATATGGACGTTCATTTAATGAAGTTTTGATAGAACCAGAAAATTCAGTAGGTTAAATTTTAAATATTTTCTATGAAGGAATCATTGTTATGTAGTGGAATTATAAGGAAAATTCACAGTTTACTATGACTACAAAAGGTTCATATCACTTTATGATCCTTAATATTTAGTCCTGGATATCTGATTAACAACCTAAATGAACTGATCATTATCCCAGGCTCTTTCTTCACCTAATTACTCAAACACTTATGACAAAGGAATTCGTAATATAATATTTAGTTACGATTCAGTGATTGATTACTTCACCTTATTGACTTCTATTAATCGTGTCCCTCGAAACATGAGCAATCAGTTAATAATTAGATTCATTTAGTATTATTTGTTTGAATCTTCCCACCGATGTGTTAGGACTGCAACTGATTAGTCACTAATTGGCATATGTGCATACTGTGCGTATTGCCTCGATATAGCCTTAATTCACAAGCATGGTAAGCAGAGATGGATAGTGTCTAGCAGATTCCACTGCTAGCCACTATCCATCTCTGCTTACCATGCTTGTGTAGTTAATAATTAGGTTGCTTTCAAAAGCATTACACGTTCTAAAATTAAAAAAAATTGATATGATTCTTCTTGAATTTACAGAAATATCTTTTTCATACATCAAATTGGGAATAAGTATTATGATTCATGATTTTCATCAACTGTTTGTTTATATTTATCGGTAATAAAAACAATAAACACAAGCTAAAATTTAAGTGATTGTTAATTCAGTTTCACTTTGTGTCGGTTGACAAACTGTTTCGAAATCTCACAGTCCACTCAAACATTTTTGATCTATATACACTTTTGTGACCAGTTTATGTTTTCCAGTATTATACTTTAACGGTTATTATCAACAAAAATAATAAATTAAATATTGTGGGACAATTGAATTTCACTTGAAGTGTATTTGTAGACAATTATTATGGAAGTAAACTTTTCAGATTATCTAAATTTAACTGGCGTAATTAGACAAAGAAATGGTTAAATTATTTTTCAACTCAACTGTATTGTTTTTGATGGCTCAGTTTCGAATTAATTAGGTTTCTGTTTGTAACTATTCAATGAACATTGAATATCTTTCGTATAAGTACTGATGAAACAATATGAGTACGTAGACTTCTCATATACGCATCACCAAGCACGTGAGCTCTCACAATATTTGACGTTTTTCAAACCAAAATTAGAGATAAAAAGAACCAACCAGGATATGCGAAATCAGACAGGACTGTACGATTTAAAAATAACAAACAGTAAATGATGAAAACACTTCTGTGAAGTTAGGGAAAAAATTCATCTTCAAAGGTGCTACGTGTGAAGTGTTTAGAAAAATTGATTCAGTGTCTCAATTTTTAAATTTCAAATTGATTGACCTGTGACTTAAACTCATTTAAGCCTTGTCGGCTAATTGTTTTGTACCCCTTTTTTTCATTATCAACTGATTGGATGACTAATTTCAAAACCTTTTGTTGCTTTTTTGCAGAAATCTCAAACGTACAGAGATTTATGTGTTGTGGATTTAATGTTTGAACCCGGAAAGTTATTAAAATCGTCTACAAGTGAAGCATTAGAATACACTAGTATAGCCTGTTAATAATAATAGAATTTACTTTCCTTCAGAACTCGTTTTTTCATGTAACTCAACTTCAACTACTCCAGATTCTTCATTGTTCAACAAAGTCTTTTGTTAGTGAATATATTTATGCACAATACATGCAGTTTTCTCTTCTCCATGTGTAAAGCAATTTTGTACTGATTTGGTAATGTAATCATAGATTAAAATTTCTAGTGTAGCCCTCAATATATATAACAGAAGAGGCTGAGAGAACAGATATGGTCTGTTTGTAAGGTGATAAATCAAATTAACTAACTTAATCAGGCTAGTTATAGGCGCTGGAGGGTGTTTTGATCTGTTGTCGCAGGTATTTATTTTCTTTGGAAATACCCTTTACTGCCTCCTGAGTAGTTCCAAAGGTCCCAATCAAACAAGCTAGACCAGTTTCATGGAAAATGTCATTTTCCAGACAACATTTTAAATCAATTAAACCAACCCCAGAAATCTGTTGGTACCATCAGAGGTGCGGTACAAAAGCATAGCAATACACAAAACTGCTCAAATTTACTTTATATAACGCTGAGAGTCAGGGAAACGAGCCGGCCAGACAGTAGTGGCGGCGACCGTTTCTGACCAAGCAACAAGCCATCTCTCGCATATCAGGGACTACATTTCTGGTTCCGACTTTTATTCAACACGAGAGGAAATATAAGCATGATCCTGCTAGCGTTATCATGACGGCGATACACTTCAGGAAACAAAGTTTCACCACAGACTGCCAGCGAAACGGTCATCAAAACATACGGAGAACAGTCTTTAATATTAGACCTTGAACTCCATCGACGTTTCTCATGAACTTTCACAGTTGCGAAAATGAAGTAGTCCATTATTAGAGCCAATTTTCTCAGTGTCCACAATTTACTGGTGGACATTAATGAAAAGAAGCTGTTAGACAGGAATTTTCGCCTACAACGGAAGGGTACCTTTACCAATTGTGAAATTTACTGTATTGGTGTGGTTAAACTGACAAATAAAGTCATCACTAATGTTCTATCAAAGTACAATTGCATTGCAGAGGTAGGTTATATAAGTGAACACACTTTATACCATATTAGACATCATATAACTACCACAGGTCCACCAATCTGCGCCAAGTCACGCAGACTACCTCTGGACAAGTTGAAGGTTGCAAAGAGAGAATTCGAACATATGGTGCAACTTGACATCATTCGACAATCTGACAGCCCATAGTCTTCTCCTCTACGTATGGTTCACAAGAAAGATCAGGACTGACGTTCATGTGGTTCAAATAACCAGACTGCTCCAGACAATTACCCAGTTCCTCAATATCATGATTTCTCTTTGAATTTACGCGGAAACAGGTTTTTTCAAGCTGTGCCTCATAAAAGCATATCATCAAATTCCGATGGCGCCAGAGGATATTGATAAACGGCTATAATTACACCTTTTAGTTCGCTTAAATTCTTGGGAATGCCATTTGAACCACAAAATGTTGCTAAAACTTTCTAAACAATTCATGGATGAGGTCATAAGAGGCCTAGACTTTGTATTTGTCTAAATCGACGATATTTTGGTTGCCAGCTCTTCCACAGAGGAACTTACACATTCTTTTTGATCGCTTTCGAAGTTATGGGGCTGTTATTAATCCTTCATAGTTCATGCTTGGCGTTCCAGCTTCGAAATTTTCGGGACACTATATCGACTCGCGTGGTACCAAGCCACCTCGGGAAAGGGTTGGAGCAATTAATAATTATCCGGAACCCATTTCAATAAAGTCTATGGCGATTTCTCTGTATCTATAATTTTTATCGTCGTTTTTTGATTAATTGTGCAACAACGTTATAACCTCTAACTAATACTCTGAGGCTGGGTCGAAAAGAAACGAAGAAAGAAGAAGTTTGTCACATATCACTCGACTCAAAATCAGCTTTTGATAGTGCAAAGTCTATGGTGGTAAATATTACTATGCTGCAAAATTCAAAATCTGACCCTAAAACACACCTAATTATGTGCACCGATGCATTCCATAAAGCCGTGGGGGCAATGCTTCAACAACGAATCAATGACATCATCAAACCTATAGCGTTTTTCTCTGTGTCTGTCACCAGCTCAAACACTCTGTAGCATTTTTGAGAGAGAAATACTGGCAATCTACTTGCCAGTAGATTATTTCAGTTTCTTATTACAGGGACGTAAATTTACGACAATGATCGATTACGAAATTTTGTGTTATCCCTTCAACACGATATATGATCGGCGTCCTTCACGTGAAACAGGACAACTGGACTATAAATCACAATTTACAGTCAACATCCAATTCATCAAAGGACTCTAATATTGTAACAAATGTTTTATTGAGAAACGACATCAGCACTGTGATACAAAAATAAGATATCAACCTAGAAACAATGGCTAAATTGCAGGCAGATGACGCAGATTTAAAAACCTTCAAACAGAAGTCCAACTTGGTTCTTAAACATGAACCAAACCATTTCTCCGATTTGTCTATCATTTAAGACGTCTCACTGCTTAACAGGTGTCTGTTCGTTCTTAAAGTCTGTCGACGATGTGTTTTTCAACAGCTCCACGAACTGCCACACTCCTGGAGGTAAAAAGATGGACAAGAAACTGAACACAAAGTCAGAGCAGCAAGGTCCAACAGCTTACAGCAAGCTATCCTGTAAAATCTCCAGTGCCTTTCTGAAGTTTCCAGAACGTATATTTAAATGCCTTTGGTCCTCTTCCACCTTTCAACTTTTTCATACACAACCTTACCACTGTTGACAGTCTTACCAGATGAACATTAGTATGTCCCATCAAAGATACATCAATAAAGTCAATAGAATCAGTATTCCTCGACTGCTGGCTATCAAACTATGGAGTTTCATTAATCATTACTACGGGACGCGGTTCCTAGTTCCAATCTGTCCTATTGCACGAGTTCACCAGAATTTTAGGAATAAGTCGCAGTAAAACAAGAGCCTACCACCTGACAAAAAATAGTTTGATCGAAAGATTTTGCCACCAACTAAAAAGCTCTTTAATGTCACAGGTCAAAATAAGGTAATGCCTTACCACTCATTTTTTGGGATTACCTCAACAATCAAAAAAGATATTAGCTGCACTTCAGTTGAGTTAGTCTACGGTACAACTATGGTCTTACCAAGACAACTGGTTAGCCCGAGTACAAAAACACCGAGTAATTCAACCCGTTTTACAAGCTGTTTATTGCAGATTACACAACAAACTAAAACGATACCTTCATGCGAACATAGTCGTCAGGAACAAACAAACACCTAAAAACGTATTGATTCTGTTCAAAAACCGTTAACACAGACGTATGAAGGACCATACTGGGTCATTCACCGAACAGCTAAATACTCTACTATCAGAAAAATTGGAAAAAAGGAAACTATCACGATAAGTAGAGCAAAAACTACTTTCCAAGATGACCATTAAGAAGAAACTACTGAAGAAATCTAAACGCTACTTTCATGTTGCGTAGTAAAAACAACAATCAGCATGTAATGAAGTGTACGATCTACTTAGTTTAATAACAAAAGCGATCTTTTTATCCACATATTGTGTACACTGTTAAGTACATTTTACACGTTACCTCGTTTGGCCACGTTTTTATTTGTCATAATTATAAAAGAGTGAATTTTTGATTGCACATCCTTAATTATCAGAAGCAAACGAATTTCGAATATCTTTTGTGAGTTTATCATTTGTTCTGAATTTATTATGATTATCAACCTAAGGCACCGCTATTGATAATACTTCCATTTCTGTACTGTTCAATTACATACACAACTCTGTACACTAGAATACTGCATATCACTGATACGCATTTTATCTGCCGTAATACACATACATCTATTGATAAGAACTTTTTCCGCAGAATATCATCACACACATTTATTGTTGCGCTTCCCTGGTTTTAATTTTTGTATGCGTCGTCTCTTTTACCAATCATTATGTCTAAAAAAAGAAACTGGTTATTCATCTCTCATTCGCACGTATGAAAAATGTGCTTTTAATTTGTGTTTGTTATATATTTAAAGAAGGTTTAATTATGGAAAACTTCCGGGAACTATTTATGGAATGCCATTATATATATTTTAATTGTATAACTGTTATGTAACCAGAATATATATATATAAATATATATATTCCTTTCATCATAAGATTTTATTCAACCAATTAAATACTATTATGCGATTTGCTATTCTTGAGTTATTCCCAACTTGTTAGTTACAGTCTCTCAGAATCACAGCCGTTTTTAAACTTCATATTCTACAAATGTTATTTTCTAATTTATGGCATGATGTAATCTGATTTGCTTGTATATAAACTCCGTATGTCCGAAATACATGATGTAAACAGTAGAAGCTGAGATTGTGTTCTAGACTCAAACAGAAGTGACAAGGCGAAAAGATTCAATAAGGGCTCAGAGTTGATTCTAGACTGCTCATACTGGTTAACGTGCCATTGGTTTGGCACAGTGCCAAGATCGTATGAGTTAGTGTTCTACTGGTGATTGGGCCATAGGATATTTAATGAAGACAAAAGTCATAACCGACAGGTAATAGTTAAACCAACTTGCAGTCACTCTCGTTAGGTGGTTTTTCGAAATATGAACAGTGTGACGAAAAATCTCCATGTGGTATGATTTCAACCACTCGGTGTTCAATTACGGGTTCACAAGCACTCAACTCTGGAACATTGCAGCAGATGACCAATGAAGTGACTTAGTTGGGTGGTAAATAAACTTTATAACCAGGTGACCAAGTGAAATATGCGATTTCACACCGAATAAGTATTTGTGCAGTCTTCTTACTGACCGTACCACAGAAAAAGCCTCGTCTTATGTCTGAGAGTATCCTTGTTTACTCTTGCTTAAACCCTCTGAAACAAAAGTAACGGACCTCCCATTCTTCTCGAGAACCGCACCTTACCATAATGGAGATGTACTTGTAGTAAGCATAGGTTTATCAGTCGGCGAAAACGGTCTGAGGAGAGCCACACCATATTGATAAAGATCCAAGATAGTGTTTTACTATGACCTTCTATTATTTCTCTATTTTTATTGCAATATATCCAATATTTTATTATTATGAGTGATTTTGTTTGATATTATGTTTGTGATACAATATAGAATTCTCAGTACAAAATATTTCAACAAGTTTTTTTCTTTATTCTTGATTGGTCCTTACGTTAACTATTCGGTGGTCGCCAGTAATGTGTTAATAGTTTAGGAATGAAAATTCGAATAATGTATATTCTTCTCAATGCATATCGCCAGTCACCACGATGTCTCTAATTTAGCTCCTTTGTAACCTGTACAGCGAAATGTCGTACATTTTTCACAAACGCACCTGAACAAGTTATGAGATTAATCGGCATAATGATGTGTTAAAACAAACAAGGCTCAAATGGTTCAAATGGTTGAGGACGGAATAGAAGAGGCTTTCGTTTAACGGGCTTCCGTGTCTGGTAGCAGTGGATCACCAATACCTCCAGGCAAGAACCTAGGTATATGAACGATAATAGAGGAAAAAAAGAATTTGGTAAATCATAATAATATGTTATCCTTAGTCCTTAAGAATAAGTCAAGTTTTCTCTTAAAGGACTCCTGGGAGGTCGCTTGGACTAGCTCAATCGGCAGCGAATTCCAGCACTTGACAACTCTAACGGAGTAGAAGTTGTGTCTGCAGTCTCTTCTGCTATGTAGGGTCTCCAATTTCTGGGTGTTACCTCTGAGGTTAGTGTTATGACTAAGCTTAAGAAGTTGTTTAAGGGGATGACCAGAAGTATTAAGGATACTATAAGTCATAAGAAGATCACCTCTAAGACGCCTATACTCTAACGGGTAAAGGTTAAGTGATTTGAGGCGCTCTTCATAAGGTTTGAATTTGAGTCCCAGAACTGATTTCGGGGCTCGACGTTGTATACGTTCCAGAGTGTCCTTATCCCTTTGAAGGGATGAAGGAAATACTATGTTTCCGTACTCTAAGTGGGGACGAATAAAACTGTTGAAGATTATATGGAAGGTTCTACCGTCAAACTGGCCGAAAATGCGCTTCAATGTTACCAGTGCAAGGTTTGCTTGAGAGGCGTTTTTGTCACAGTTCGCATACGATTTCAGGTCGTAGGGTACCAACACTCCTAAATCTTTTTCAACTTAGGAAACTTCTAGAGGTGAGTTACCTAAGTTATAACTATAGTCTGCAACATGTCTCAGATGGACTACCTTGCACTTTGAAGTGTTGAAGGTAAGTCTGTTGTCGTCTGCCCAACTTTGAAGTCGAGTCAGATCCTCCTGAAGAACTAGTATATCATTATGATTACGTATCTCTCTCCAAAGTTTCACATCATCATCAAAAAGCAATAAGTCAGATAAAACTTGTTGAGGAAGATCGTTAATATACATCAAGAAGAGAAGAGGTCCTAGTATTGAGCCCTGGGGGACCCCACTAGGACATTCCATAGCCTGAGAGAGAGTGAAGTTAACCCTGACCTTAAAATGTCGGTTTTCTAGGTATGAAGTGAGCCAGTCAATCAAAGGGGGTTTTACACCCAATCGTCCAAGCTTCTTGATAAGACATGCACGGTTGACCCTATCAAAAGCTTTTAAGAAGTCCAGGTAGATGACGTCAACCTTCCCCTTGAGATCAAGGATGGTTGTCCATCTATCCACCTCAGTCAGCAGGTTGGTCATACAAGAATGACCTTTTCAGAAACCATGCTGTTGAGGCGAGAAGAACTTTGAGGATGATAAGTGTTCTAGTATGCCGTCGAATACTAGGGATTCCATAATTTTTGAAGGTATGGAGAGAAGGGCCACTGGTCGGTAGCTTGAGGGTTCACTGCGTCGACCTCCTTCGAAAATTGGTGTGATGTGGGCCAGCTTCCATATTTCCGGTAGTTTGCCTCTGCTTAGCGAGTGTGCAAACATCACGCTAAGTGGTGTCGCCAGGATTGAAGCTGCTTCCCTCAATACAGCGGAATGAACCATGTCCGGACCAGGAGAAGTGTCTTTTCTTAGGTTCTGCAGTTTACGAAGCACCAGGTCAGCACTCAGATCCACTTCGGAAAGTCCTGTACAGGTGCAGGTGAAGCTTTCGTCAGTATGGTTGATGTGGGTATTGTTCAGCCGAAAGGTTAGCGGCATCACTGTCGTTATTGGTCGGGCCATTAGGACCAAGCAGTTGGGAAACTCCAGTTTTGCCTTGTCGAAGAGAAGCTGCGTAACGGAATAAGCTCTTTGGATTGGAGACAAATCTATCGATAAGCTTGGTCTGGAACTGAAGCCTGTCTTCTCTTATTGCCTTTGTGCATATGTTCCTTATATGTTTGTATTGCCTGTACGCACCGTTGTTATCAGTTCGTTTATATTCAGCCCAACAGTGTCTTTTGCGGCTTATCAAACGACGGGTGCGGTTCTTGATGATTAGGGGTTGCTTGTAGCTTTTTGGGACCATTTTAGGAACTGAATGCTCAGTAGCACATAAGATCGTGTGCAGTAAAAAATCCCAATGAGCATCCACTTCAATTTGAGGGTGAACATCCCGATCCACCTGTTGAAGATAGTCCTGTAAAGCTAACACATTCAACCGTTTGAAGTTCCAGCGCTTGTTGCTAGTAGGATATCGTAGCTCCGTTTTGCTGACAAAGCTGAATGATAAGACGGCGTGAACACTTTTCTCCAGGGGAGCCAGGATTGAGAGGTCGTCAACTAGGAATTCTTCATTTGTGAATACCCAGTCTAAGCGCGACGGCCTCTGACTGTTTTCCCAATGGGTTGCCGACTTCACATTTTCAAATAATCCCAGGTCGCCGATAAGGTTGAAGAACAGAGCTTCAGTAGAGTTGGTACCACCAATGTATGTATGTTCCACGAAGTTGACTCTAGGGAGATTGAAATCCCCTAGAATCAGGATATGAGAGAATCCGAGACGCGTAGAGCGAGTTAATCCTTCCAGCAGACGTTTGTCATATTCGATGTCGGCAGTGGGCTTCCTGTAAACGACCCCAACTTGACACCTCGAGGTTGTAGACAATCTTACTGAGCACTATCAAGATTGAGAAACTCTTGGTTGTGAAGTTGGTGCGCATCCAGGCATGGCCGTATGTATAGTGCTACCCCCCCATTCCTGTTTTTCTGTCGTTGTGAAATAAAGACATCCCAGTTATTGCTAACTCCTGGTCCGTAAACTGAGACGTTATCCAAGTTTCGGATATTCCTATCAGATGGACATCATTAACGTTGCTAAGTTCACGTAGCTCATCCATTTTGTTTGGCAAGCTCGCGGCGTTCGTGTATAGGCAGTTTATGCTTTCAATTTGGAACGCGTGAGCTACTTCCTGTTTGTCTATATGAGCCGTGCGTGAGTGGACAGGTAGCCTACCTATACGATGTTTACCGAGTTGGTAGTCACTGTCCTTTACACGTTTTTTTATGATCAAGACAGTCCACGAGTGGAATTGTCAGCTCCAGCTTTCCCTTGTGCTTGATCCTGCTGTCGTGGGGCCTATCAGGATGCATATGGATGCCAGTTGGCAACCGACGTCTATTGGCACGAAATGCTTCCAGAGTTGCAGCCGCCATGTGGGAGGAGGGGAAGGTTATCTTCAACAGCCGGGGCCTAAAGTCTCCTTCTCTCTTGACTAGTCGCATTACCTGTTGGGTCAATATGTTCTTGAGTTTTAAGGAATGCTTGATGAATTTCCATTCCCGAATATCAGAGTTTGCTTGAGCTGGGTCCATATTTTCCGGCACACCTTGCACAATGATATTTCGTCCACGGAAGAACGCCTCGCGAGATTCCTTAGGGATGTTCCGGATGAGATTTCGTTCAGAATACGGTATGTCTGGCAGTATTCTTACGTTCCCATCGGACCTCAGTAAGTGACTGGCTAGCAGGACGTCCTCTACGTCGGAGGCATTCTTAAGTGTAACACGAAGCAGCCTCGGGTGGTTTAGGTGGTTAGAGTCCTTCCCCCGAGTGAGCCGTGTGACGGTCAAAGGCTCTATTCTAGGGAGTTCAAGCCTCTTGATTAATTCTTCCCAGAGCATCCGATCGTTTTTGTCCTGCAAACTGAGAGGAAGGTCGGGGTTGTCAATAAGGTTCATGATTATGACAGAGTCGTCACGAACCGCAATTGATTTCCCAGGTTTTCCAGGGCGTCTAGGTTTGGTATCTTGTTGTTTGGATGTCGAGGCGCATTTTCGTTTCCTGGGCTCAGTGATGACCGGGCGGACATTCTTGGGGGTAGACTGTGCAGCCAAAGCATCAACTGATTTCCGCACGATACTTGGGACGTTCGGTTTCGGCGGGGACGCTTGGGCTTTATTACTCCTGTTAACGTGAGTCCATCCACCTACAGGATTTTTGGGAACAACTGTCTCATTCAAGGACTGTTCCCTGGGGGACCCAAGTTTACTGAGGGAGTCGATGACAGTCAATGTTAAGATGGTGCTGAGTTTCAGCACATCATCACTCGTGCTGTTAGCAGCACCGTCGATAACCGACCTGTCAGTATCCTTTTTCTTGTTTGCCCTATGCGTTCCAGCTTTGTTACCCGTCATGATACTATCGTTTGCCAAATTCTTGGACAACTTATCTCTCAGACCTGTCAATAAAGTAATGATGGTACCCAACATAACTACCGTATCAGTGTTGCAGGTAACACATACCCACCTACGATCAGACTTGTTGAGTCTGCTATAGGCTGCTGCTGCTAGATCTGTACAGGCCTCATGGAACCAACCTTTACAGTTGTCACATTGCATGCCAGATGTAACGGCAAAACGGCAACCAGGTCTTTTGCATGAATTTTTCATGGCTAGTGATTTAGACTGTCTTAAAAATACAAGCAGTAAATATAGGACCGCTAAAAAAAACACAGTAAACAAAAACTGGCAAAAATGTATAAAAACAGTTAACGATAGGCTAAAGCTAACCTTTACGTGAAAACTATAAAAAAAACCGATAGTGAGCTAAGGCAAAACCACAGTTAACTATTAATTTGAATGAAACACAAAAAAAAGAAGTAATCTACCGAACGTATAGCTCAGAATAGATTCTTTAGATCGGAAATGGTACTTTTGTTGCGTAAGAACACAGCAAAAGTTTGAGAAATGTAAATCACGTTAGGACTAAACTTCCAGTTCGAAAAGGCAACAAACAACTTTATGAAATATCCAGATGGCAGGGGCAATTAGCTCAGATATTCAGCAGGGCGCCTAACCTGAGTGTATCGATAATCCGACGCTACTAGACTGTAAGCCCGTTGAGTTAAAGCCTTTTCTATGCCATTTTTAGCCATTCGAACTATATATTATACAGACTGACCTTGAGATCATAGGATGTTGGGGGCGGGTTGTGTGGTTGACAAACATGCCTTTTATGTAGCCTTATCGAGTCTTTAGTATCTAGCTTCTGTTACCAGGTAACTTTGTAACAACACTTAGTCATCGTTATTCGCCATCATTCACATGAGTTCATAAATGTAAGTGCGTTCTATGTGGGTAATAAAAGCAAACAAGCCTATCAAAATATTTCCTCAATTTCAGGTTCACGCACCCTTCTACCCTCGGACTAAGCATAAAGCTATTAACAACTAAACAACTACCTAGTAACTAGATGGAATTAGTTGTTTATGAGGTCCACCCGCACATAGCATTACTGCGTGAGTTATGCGGTGAAACCCATGAAGAATCACTTTCTGATGACTCAGACGATGAAAGTTACCTAAAGGGTCTTGATCCCAAAAACTGGAAAAGTCAAGATCATTATTCTGTTTTGGGGCTCAGAAAGAAGCGCTTTCTTGCTTCTTCTGATGATATCAAGAGAGCATGTATGTTTTCTTCTCATCGTTATCTGTATTAGATCGCAGAAAAATCTTGAATCATCACCCTGACAAACGTCGTTCAAAGGGGGAGTTTGTTCAGGATGAAAAACTAGATTACTTTTCATGTATAACTATAGGTAAGTGAAATCTATCCCTTCGTGGGTTTTATTCCTTATAATTAAAATCCATACCAGTTATAAAGTGTGGTTAGTGTTTAACGCTCCATATAGCTTTTAAATGTTAGTCATTTATAGGAAGTCTTTAGTGTCAAGGTCGTGTTTTCTGTGTCTAATACAGTTTTTTCCAAGAATTTGACTTCGTAGACGTTTTCCACCCATCAAATACGAACTGGTGCTTCTTTACTTATATTTAGTTCATAAATAGCACGGAAATTATTCAATACAGTGAACTGCATATAGGATCTACTATATGTCACTCTTTAGCCTCAGCAACAGCTACATTTCTAGTGTCTGGTTGCTGTAAAAGCATCGATGCACTTAAGCAGAGTCGTTAAGTGATCAATGTTAAGATTGAGCACAGGCTTTTATGTACTGGAAGTAAATTAATCGACATATTTGCGAAAGGTCTTCGACTGAGTTGTTTCGTTCAGGTTTTGTCCACGTTGTATACTATTTTCACAGATTTGTACACAATAAAGTGATAGCGATTAGGGTTAACCAGTTTTTTATTGAAACTGATTCACCAGGTTACTTCTTTTGATTGAAGACGCGAAATTTATCTCCTTTGTACATGATTCGCTGTTTTTCTTTCACTTTGAGTCTACACTAATTGAAATTAGTTGTTGCAGACATCCTAGCGTGGGTAACGCAAAACATACATAAGTCAAGTTAAACACACGAATAACATATACTCAATGAAAAATAGGATGGATGAAAGAAAAATGATAGACTTTTTGAGAGTATGCATTTACTTCGTCGAACGTTAGTTTTCCTTCATATTTTATGCTCTATCCATCCAGTACATTTCCTTTCGGCCTAGATGAAGTGGTAGATGCTGTAACAATCCAAGTCATTATTTATTATTACCACAAAGCTTCATGTAATTTGTCTCTACATCAACCAACACTGTCTCAGGGTCAGCCTCTGTAAACTTAACAGGTCAATTTGTCTCCCATTCATCTATGACAGGGTAGTTGGGAGAAACTTTAAAAACCTGGGCTAATAATTACATTCTTTAGCTTTTGGATGTTGTATGAAGGGTTTATTTATTTATTTAAACACATACATATTGGTACAAAGGAGCACCAGATACATATGCGCCACATATGAAGGGTCATAAAGTGTCATAGTAAATTTAATGTGATGAAAAACAGTAATTTGATACAAGTATCTCAGATTAGTATCTTTAACAGTCTGCCAGTATTAACAACTTTAGACAAACGAGCCGTGTATCCGATTACTGCTTAACGTCTTCAAGTTCAGAAGTGTACCTGACATTATGAAATAGTTCTTTCCGAGAGAGAAGACTCAGCTAAGTGATTTTGGTAGTCACATTGCTATAGTTTCACTCATATCTTATTAAGTGAGCATGTCTGGGTTGTGGGACCTATGTAAAAGAAAGCTTAAATACCAATACAATTGGAACAAACGGCATCAAAGTGCGTGGTCACATCCGTCGGAGTGACCGTCCAAAGATAGTTGTTCATAAACTTATTCCACAAATATTTTATAGGACATTATTGGCCTCGTTATTGCACATTAGAATATTTTTATCTGGTCTGTTTAATTTTTTGTGACAATTTTGTGCTTCATTCGGAATATTAAAATATCTTATTACTTCCTTATAAATAGCATACGAAATACTTGGAAATCCCGTCAAACGTCTTGCATATGATAGTGTGGATCCAGTCGCCATCGATGATTCAGTTCCTACCATTAGTGAAATCAAGTCCAACTTCTTCACTTCATTGGGAAACTTTTTTTATCGTAAATCTAGGTAATTGTCGTTCTCCAGATAGCCATTTTTCATTAAGGTGGTCTAAAAAGCAACCTACTCCGCACCTTGGTAACAATCTAACTGATATAGAGGAAGTCCTCAAGTTTTATGACTTCTGGTAAGTTAATAACAAAAACAGTTAATATGACATTTATTTCTATCTGTATGCCGTACAGTTTGTTCATTGTTTTTCTCAGACAAGCGTTTACCTTGTGCTAAAATCGTACAACTAACGTTTACAAATCTTCCAAATTTTTTCAATACTTGTCCCCTCATACGACTATCCTTCACATAGTCTTGGTCTCCGGTCCGTGTCTGGTCTAGGTTTTAGTTATATACGATGTAATGCTCTCCACAACTTTGAAATGCGCAATCGTGGACCTCCTATAACCACCTGCATAAACTTTTCAACCTAGCCATACACCTACTGGTCGAATTGTAACACATGTTTCAATTTATAAGGACCTATATATACACTATCAAATCTAACATACTTGGAGTGTTTCTTCATGACAAAATTATTGGTTATGTTGTTGGCGTAAGTTAATCTAGTGTACGATCAGTCTGTTTTTTGTTTATGACAATCCCAATGGAAAGATTATTGAAATAATTACTTGCTTTCAACCACTAAATATTTTATAACTACAAAATGTCCAGAAAAGCTAGAACCCTTAGTCTTTGTTTATTCTTATGTTCGCATCTGATTACTCACGAACGGTTTTAGTGTTGTCTATATGCAAATGCTTGCTTACTAAGAACAGGAAAATGTATCATCCAGAACTCTTCGTATTCACGAAAATTGCTAACATCGTAATGAGGCACCATAACCACAAATTAGTTGTGCTAATATTTAGGAGCATTAGTTCTAATATGCGCCAACGATTATTTTGAATGACTTCACTAGTTGGTTTTCTGTTAATCTTATCATTATATATGGTCGTAATAAGGAGTAAATGTATTGACCACCATTAAGCCTTGTCTCAACAACATTCAGATAAAAGTATAGACCAATTCAAACAAAGTTCAAAGACTACAATAAATCAAACAGTTAAAAAAAGCCATTTGTAAATAAAATTAATAGGGACAGAATAATATTACAATCAATCATTTTCAGATATTGGCGTGAATATAGCACCAATGGCGTTTGTTTGAAAGCGTTTGAGAGTTCCAGAAACACCAAATGCTAGTTATCTCGAGGTATCCTCTACATCAGTATTGCGTAATATCTTGTAACGCTACTATATATTTTGTGAGGGAAAAATATCTTGTTGCTTTAATTTTTTACAGGGAGGAATACGATACCTGTCGTGATTACTCATATTTAGACGAAGAAGATAAGGAAAAAGGTGAAGAGTACGTTTCTCAATGCTACCCTTCTTTTACTAACTTATCCAAAACTACTGTTTGTTCAGTACTCGCTAACGTTCATTATTGTTATTAAGATTTGATTTTATTGATAACTAAATGTGGATGTTTTTAAGTCGAAACAAGTTTCCTTATGCATTATGATTAGTTTTATTGGCTTTTCAACCAGTCATCAATATTATATTTTTCTGATGCGAAATACGTACAAATCAATAATTTGTCTTTATACCAATGCACGTTTTTCGGATAAGTGCTGTACTCAATAATCAGATTGCACAGCTTTTACAGGGAATTTAATATGACTTAAATTTTCGCGAAAATTGAAATGGAATAAGCTTTTGTTTGATTTACTGAATAAAATGCTTTTTAAATTCGTCTGCCAAGGAATTATATGTGATATAATTCTTAATGCTTCTTATATCAATCAGAAGGTCATTCACTATATACCAGGAATTACTAGATATTAGTTTCATTTCATTCCAGCATTTTACATCAATGCACTTCTATGACCTATTTTGCTGCTGAATATTCCGCATCTGGCCTTGTAAGCTTCACTACAACCGTCTAATAGTAACGTAACTCAACTCATAATGTACTACAACGTTTTCTTAAATGTTGTAATTGTATTGGATCATCGGATAAATTCCACTAGGCTATTCACTAAGAAAGTTTGAAATTTATTGAACGTTGTCTTGAAAACTATATCTTCTGTTTTCATATAGTGTACACACAGCATTTTATCCAATCGATTGTAATTTTCGTATTATGAGCACGATTTTGATATAAATATCTCATCATTAAAGAATATTCAGAACTGCAGGTCTGACTGTCGACGTTTCGACCACTATCGTAAAAGTGAAGTGGTTCAGCGGTTAAAGCATTTAGCATTCAATCAATGGGTCACAAGTCCAAAATTGCTTTATTTTTATTTTAGTTTTGGTTAGGTGAGTACTGTTCCTAACCCTTGCACAAACAGTATGGCACAAAGTCGACTACACATACTTTTACTTAATAAATGAGGTTATATAAATGGCACTTGTGAAAACAACTTTATTTGTCTGTATCCAAATAGTAGTACTTAGCTTTGTAAATTGTACGTATGACTCAAGAAACAACTGAGTCAATCAGTCACAACGTAGAACTTCGTACGTATGTACATCAGTTCGAGTTGCCGTACCACATTAGCACAGAGATGAAGTTGTCGATTCAAACCCCATAGTGGTGGACGTAGTAAAAGTATGAACAGTAATCCAAAAGATTAGGGTTTAAAGATGTTATTCAATGAGTATGATACAGTGAAATAAATTTGGAAAGAGAAAAAGATAGAGACATGAGGAATTCAGAAGATTAGAATTTGGCAGAACACAAAGAGTGGATGCCCCTTCGTCATTGCAAACTATTTTGAGCCATGTCATTCAAAGTCTCTAACCATCGGTTGCTATCATCTCGCGAATCCCAACCAGGTAGTTTACACCTACCAACATGGCTCAGTCCACTTGTCAGTGACTTCATGGATTTATGCCATGTTTTGGTCAGGCCGCCCTTAGCTTTCTTCCAACCTACTCTTACACCATGAAACATTGCACGTCGGGGCAGTCGGTGGTTGAGCATACGTAACGTGTCCCAGCCATCTCAACTGATGAAGTTTCACTAATTCATCAATCTATTTGCCATCCTTACGTTGTACCCGTTTCCTAACAACTACATTACTTACTCGGTGGTCCCAGGATATACGAGCAATCCTTCGAATACACTTATGGTCGAATAATAGTAGCCTACGAATATCCTCTACTCTTACCGGCCATGTTTCACTGTCGTAAAGTAGGATGCAAAGCGAAATGCTGCTCAGTAAACCCGTTTTTTAGCAGTGTTCCTTTTTACGGGATGAGGTAGCCATCCCCAATTCTCATCCTTGATCCGTGTTTGGGACCGGGAATAATCCTAGAGAGGCTCTAGGTGGAGTTAGAAACAACTAAACTAGACATATTTACCTCGAAACCAACCATAGTTACAAAACTGAACGCTTTATTTACCATGTTAGAAACTCAAACCTAGTGTAATGGATTTTGCCCCCTGAATACTCAAGCTTGTTCCTTTTATTTGTAAACAATGTTTGCCTCAATTTGTTTGAAATTTTCTCGACAAACTAATCAGCTCTACTTATTATGTGTACACCTTGTAGACAGTTTTAGTGGTAGGTGTATTTAAAGAATAAAACCCTTAAATCTGAGGTGTTTTAAATTTTCGTAAAATTATCCATTGAATCATAGTCAAAATAGTTCTACCATGTAGTCCTCATAAAATAAACGTTTACAATAATTTCTTAATATTTTATATTTCATAAGTTTTTTAAATAAACCTATATTCTTAAATTTATAAAGTTTCTGTCTGATGTTAAGATATATGAAGGTTGCCTGCAAATACTTATGCAAATACTTATATGCAAATCAATACCATGTAACAGTGATTTGCTAAACGCCCAAGTTTTCTTAGTGTGTAAATTTGATTAAATCGTAACGGCTCATAATTCATGTTTGTTTCAGTCGAGAAACAAGACGTGCTATAGAGAGACAAAATCGTATTGAACGAGCACGTCGAAGGAATGAAGAAGTAAACAATGTTCGAAACATAGTCCTTCTTGCTAAGGAAAATGATCCAAGAATTCTAGCTGCAAATAAGGCTGCTCGTGATGCTAAGGAAGCGAAACGTCAGGCTCGTTTAGCTGCTGTGCAGAAACGACGTGAAATGGAGGAAGAGGTAAGATACCCTATTATTTTTAGACAAGAATTAGTATATTACTTCATATTTCTCACAGGAAATAAGCATACACAATACATATTTTGGTCTGCTATAAGCTATACTGTGGGGCTAACAGATTTGAGGATATTGACCAAAAACTACATGGTGTAAGTGTATCCATTAGTCATCTCATTATTTTGATGAGAAATTTATCAATAGCCATTAAAAACACTCAATTATAGCTTTGTAAAAAGTAATAATAAAGTCCATGATTAACTATATAGGGGATTTCTGATGGCAACTGTAATTACTACTTCACATTTTTAGTATGATTCAGATAATCTTACTAATTTACCCTCATATTCAAATGAAATCGACCAACGAAATGTTGAATGAAAACTAGATTATATAAGAACTTCCGTCTAAATTTAATCGAATAGCTTCACAGTATTTGGGCATCCAGTTGACGTGAGACATTAAAGAGGAAGAATGTATTTATAAGATCTCAGCGGATGAACTTGAAGTAAATCCAATGTTTTGCCTGGCAATCCGATTCAAGTTTTTTTTGAAGGAAATATGATCAAACACCAAAATCATGGAATATAAATAGGTGCATGCTTCTCTGGTTCACTGTATACTAAACAATACTCTAAGATTAAAACGGGTAAGAGTCAAATATCCAATACACAAGGAGGAACAACGAAATTGTGTTTGTGAAATCAAATTGATTGTAGTGTTATATGTGTAAGTGAAACGTCATGAAAATTGAATGTGAGGGTGGAGGAACACAAACGGTGCTTAAGGCGCATTCTTAAATCCTCAGATAATGTAAGAAAACTCGAGAACAAATCAGCGATAGCATTACACCCAATAGAATCGGGTCATACAATTGATTTCGACAGCACAAGAATTCTTCAAAAAGGTTTTAACTAACAGCTGAAGCTCTACATATATGGGTGAATCTTAACAGAATTAGTAAGAGAGATGGAATACAAGTCATAACAACAACTAATAATTAAACCTGAATAACAGCAATTACGTTCAACGATTCTAATCGGTTGTCTTATTTGAACAATTAACTGGAACAATAAAAATAACGCAAACATTCATTTACAAATACATTCTTCATCTTTGAATTCATTCCTTTATTTTGTTTATTTATCTTCATTTTATGCATGCTGTGACATTTGATTTATATCATTTATAAAAATTGCATGTTTTAAAAATTCACCGACCAGAGACAATATATAATGGATGAAATTTCTCTCACCACTTACGTATATATACGATCTGTTATCTTAACACTTCGTTTCTTACCACAAGTCTCGTACACACTAAAGCAATTACCTACTTTAAACATTGTTGACGCTGGATAACCTATTTAGTATACAGTGAACCAGAGAATCACGCATCTATTTGTATTCGATGGTTTTGGTGTTTGACTATATTTCCTTCAAAAAGCTTGAATCGGATTGCCAGGCGAAACATTGGATTTACTTCAAATTCATTCGCTTAGATCTTACAAATATATTCTTCCTCTTTATAACTGGATTATCCTTTAAAAATGTCAAATTTTAGTTCCTTTTATTTAAAAAGTTTTATCAGGATAGAAATAAGGAAAAATTTACCTAAGGAATAACAAAATGCTTTAGGCATTCAAAGATGCAGAATCGATGAACAGTGACGTAGTTGTTGTACTGGTTCACACTGACTGCGTGATGCTGGTATTAGTTTCTTTTTTAGTATGAATTTTATTATCTACAAAATACACCGTTCTATTTCTATGCTATTCTTACATTCCACTTAAATACCTTTCACTTTACTAATAATGGAGGTATTCCAATTCCATTCACTTTCAACCAGACAGTGACTGGAGATCGTTTACATAGAACAGAGTTTCCACCATGGGCGAGCTGCTGCATAAGTTGGAAAGTAAGGGTACACAAATTAAGAATAAAAGGGAGTAAATATGCGACGCGGTAATTAATAATAATAGTGTGAATTGTCTGGCATTCAGTAAGAGCGTGAATGGGATTGTCAGTAGAATGCGTCTTTTCATTTATTTGTGTGTGTGCTGTGATACTCCCCGGGCGCTCAAACCGAAGCAGGTGGTTTTCTTAGGGGACCACACCTGGAGCCTTTGACCTAAAAGTCTAACACACAAGGCCGCCAAGTGCCCTGGTACCGTCGAGAGTGGGGAGGGGCCCTCCCGGTTTGGTCCCCTAAGAAAACCACCTGCTTCGGTTTGAGCGCCCGGGGAGTATCACAGCACACACACAAATAAATGAAAAGACGCATTCTACTGACAATCCCATTCACGCTCTTACTGAATGCCAGACAATTCACACTATTATTATTATTAATTACCACGTCGCTTATTTACTCCCTTTTATTCTTAATTTGTGTACCCTTACTTTCCAACTTATGAAGCAGCTCGCCCATGGTGGAAACTCTGTTCTATGTAAACGATCTCCAGTCACTGTCTGGTTGAAAGTGAATGCTTCTACCGATTACGAATACTGAACCAGTTTTTCTGAAACCTCGTACGCCGTTCAAACTGGCCTCCTTCAACGTTCGTACACTAATGCAGATCGGACAACACATAGGGCTGGCTATGTCTTCGGAAAGTCTTTCTTCTATTAGAAGCGAGAACAGTGTAGTCAGTGGAGTGCGTCATTTCATTTCATTTGTGTGGTCAGTGTGACATGGTGTCGTGGCATTAAAGAAAGCTGCAAAGGGTTAGCTTCTGTTGGTCCTTCACGACTCCCTGGCTGGGGTCCGAGAGATGGTGCAACACAGTGGCTAGAGACGTTATCAGATATGGCTCAGAATAGAAGCCAGTGGCGAGCCTGCTGTAACCTGCTTTTACTTTCTTCATAAAGAGTGGTTCTAACTTTCTTAACTGAGTCTTCCGGTTGTACATTTCAGTCCGCCTTATCTTTTCATCCTTTCTCTTCCTATTTTCATTATTTTGTGTGGCGCATATGTATGTGGTGCCCTTTTTGTACCAATATTTGCGTTTAAATAAATAATAATAATTGGAAAGTCTTAATGTTGACGTTTGTTGTCTATCCGAGACCCGTATTCAAGACTCTAGTGAAGTACTACAAATCCGCTCTCCATCTGTAGCCTCGAAAAGCTTGTTCCACGTGCGCTTATCCGGGGACCCTGTGGCATCTTCGTCTGGTCTTGCTGGCGTTGGTGTCGCACTAAGCGCTAGGGCTGAGGCAGCACTAATCGATTGGATCCCCATTAACAGTCGGTTATGTGCTGTTAGATTAAAAAGTTCCATCAAAGTGAGAAACGATGTCTTTTCATCATCTCCGCCTATGCCCCGACAGATTGCAGCCCGGATGCAATCAAGGATGAATTCTATCACCAGTTAACTGTTCTTCTTCAGAAAGCGCGCTCGACAGATATTGTAGTACTAGCCGGAAACTTCAATGCATAGGTCGGGCGTCTAGGCACAGAAGAGAGTCGTTTAGGTGGCCGATGGAGACTTGTTGGTCGCAGGACATATAACGAGGACCGTCTACTGCAACTGTGCACAGACCACAACCTGTTTCTGGCTAGCACTAACTTCCGGCACAGTCATCGCCTATGTGCCACCTGGCGTCCTCCTTCTGCATCTCAAGCCAGGACTCAGATTGATCACATCGCGATCGGCTACCGCTGGCGTGGTTGTGTACAAGACTGCCGCTCCTTTTGGAGCACCTATCTGGAGTCTGATCATGCCCTGGTCTGCGCCAATCTCACCTTACTTTTCAGTGGCCGAAGGATTGACCACCACCAACGGATTGATATTAGTAAACTGGCTGCAACTCCTGTTGCAAGTAAGTGTCGAGCCGAGTTAGGTTTTAGGCCAGCTACCGTCCCACCGAAAAGTATCGATGAGCATTGGTTGCAACTGCATGACACCATGAAAATCACGATTAAAGTCACTTGTGGCTTCGCAAAACGTCCCGTTTATAAGCACTGGGTTTCCTCTGACTCCTTACAACTGATGAAAGCCTGTCGGTCTACTCTGGCTGACCATGAGTATGACCACAAATGAAGACTGTTACGCAACAAAATCGGGCAAAGCTTGCGTAAGGACCGAGAAGCCTGGTGGTCGGAGCGTGCTAATGGACTGGTAACTGCCGGAAGCTCTTCCAACTCATCCGAGCCACTGGCAGCAAGAAGTCTGGTGTGAGTGAAACAATCTGTGAGGATGACGGGATGCCAATCACTAACATCTCTCGACGTCTTGGACGATGGGCGGAATTATTTGAAGGGCAGTCCAACTGGCCTGCTGCCCCGGCAACATCAACCAGATTGTCCTGCTCTCCGTGGCCGGTGAAGACGGATCCACCGAATGAGGCGGAAGTCCGCAAGGAACTTCGACTCTTGAAACGCTACAAATTACTGGGCCCAGATGACTTACCTCCAGCTCTTTTTAAAGATGATGGTGACTTTCTGGCTAAGGAATTGACTGCGTTGTTTACAAAGGTTTGGGAGCTGTAGAGCGTTCCAACGTGATGGAATGAGTCGATAGTTGTCCCTATCTTTAAAAAGGGTTCACGTCGTTCCTGTAACAACTATCGGGGGATAAGTCTACTTCCGATTGTGTCCAAACTATTGGCTCCTGTCATACTTCATAGATTGTTTAAAACCCGAGAAAGACTGACTCTTTGGGAGCAGGCTGGTTTTCATTCTGGTCAAGGATGCATTGATCACATCTTCACGCTCCGCCAAATGTTAGAATGCCGTCATATTTATCACAGGTAACAATCGTAGTGTTTCTCGATGTCAGGGCCGCCTTCGATTCGTTGGACAGGACTGTTCTATATATATATATATATATATATATATATATATATATATATATATATATATATATATATATATATGACTTGTGCAAACCTTTTACTTATATGTAACTGAAAAGTGCTCTCACATGGCCACGCGTACATAATCTCTTCCTGGGAAGTCCTACTCGCTGACTTTTCGCAAAAAAGTGTTGTTTACGAAATTGAGAGGACCCTTCTTCAACAGACAATATATATATATATATATATATATATATATATATATATATATATATATATTATTTCGTGAGCCATCATTCAAGTAATTGTCTTTCCGCTTAGCGCATTTTTATACATAACTTGGGTGAGATAGATAATATGTTATTCCTATCTTTTTTTAATATTTTCCAATCTACGATTAATTCATGAGGCACTATTTATCTGAAATCATTGTATTGAATGGTATTTCCATGACCATAGCAATTTTTATACTTTAAGTATGCCAACAAATTACTTACAATATGCAAGTAATATAGGCAGCACTTTGGAATTTGATATTCGGTTTAAACGTTAGTCGTATTGGATATGATTATCATGTTCATAAGTTGTAATTTCTAGGTACTTTCTACTTAAAAATGCCTTCTTTTCTCCACCCATTTTTATTACCTTGTACATTTTAAATTCATCTTTAGCAACAGAAACGTGAAGCTGAAGCTGCTGCACTTGCCCGTGCTGCCAGTGAAGAGCGTCGGAGGTCGGAAGCTGAACGTGTTCGCAAGGAACGTGACTTAAATCGCAGTGAGGCTAAACGTGAAAGGCGTCAATTGCGGAGCCTCCTTGTCGAGCGGTTCAACTACTTTTTAGTTGGTGATAAAACTGATACATCTAAAGTAGGATCTCATCAAGTCAAAGTTTTAGCTGATATGGATTTGTTATGTCAGCGTTTGTCGAATGTTCAGTAAGTCACCTTGGTTCATAAAATAATATATTTGAGTATCCTATACTCTTGTATAATGATGAGCAGTAATCATTTTATTTGATATTATGTGTTTGATGCAGTGAAAAATTCTCAAATTAAGACATTGCAATATTTTTCTATTAGACTGCACTCAAAGCAACCATCTCATTCTAATCAGTTACTGACACCGACTGAATTTTCAGGAATTGATCTCCCACCAGGGGGTCCACTTCTCGAATTAGAATACCCAGATGACATAGTCCTGTTTGGTGAAGACGCTGACAAAATGCAGAGTCTTTTGATGACACTGAGTAACAATGCAATCATGTTTGGAATGCGTTTCTCCTCCTCTAAATGCAAGTTATTGCTCCAGGACTGGCCTGCTTCAACCTCTGAACTGAGAATAGGGAGTGAAGTAGTCGAACGCGTCGACAGCTTCACTTATTTTGGAAGTCTGATCGGTCCTAATGGGTTGGTGTCTGACGAAATCTCTGCACAGATTCCAAAAGTTCGTTCGGCTTTTGTCACCTTACGTCACCTATGATGAAGGCGAGATATCCGTTTATCAATTAAAGGACGAGTATACTGCGTGGCAGTTCGTTCCGTTCTACTTTACGGCTATGAAACGTGGCTATTAAGAGTAGAAGATACTCGTAAGTTACTAGCATTTGACCACAGATGTCTTAGAAATATTGCTCGCATCTGCTGGGATCACCGGGTAAGCAATAGTGAGGTTAGACATAGTGTATTTGTGAGTGATGGTAAACCAGTTGATGAGGTTGTAAATCTTCATCGATTGAGATGGTTGGGCCAGGTGTTACGTATGTCTGAACACCGATTACCACGACGCGCTATGCTGACTAGTGTAGGGGATGGTTGGAAGAAAGTTAGGGACGACCAAACCAAAACGTGGCATCAGTGTTTGAAGTCAATAACCTCTAGTCTGAGCCATGTTGGTAAATGCAGACTATTTGGTTGGGGTCCGCGTGACTACCTTTGGTGACTCTGTGTGACATGGCTCTAAATCGATCACAATGGTGTAGGAGTATACACTGTTTGTCTTCCCTTAAACCTTGAGATTAAAATTGCTTCATACCTTTCTTTCTACCAACTAATTCTTCTTGTATTATATCCCTATACACAATCTTTTGCATATATTACTACTATTGAAGTAACTACTTCTATGAATTTGATGTTCGTCTTGTTGTGCTAATAAGGTGTGGAAACTTGGACCGATGCATATATGTGCCTGGTCCTACGTTGTAGCTAACTGACTGAGTTACCGACATGGATAACTTTCCTTAAAAACATTAATCTTATACTAAATCCTCTCATTCAGTGGTTCTGCTACACAGGAATAACTCTTTAATTAGTCAGTCACAACGTAGAACCTGGTCCTTGTGTACATCGGTTCAAGTTGTCATATCCCATTAGTTTCATGCAACTAGTTCAGAGGTTATGAGGCGTTAGTATCAGGGAAACATTAAGGATGGGCGGTGTAATAGTTGAGTGGAGTTCAGAAACAAATAAGATAAATTATGTGGTAATTCTAGGGGTAATAAAGGATTCGTGGAATTAAAAACAAATAAGATGAGTTACGTAATAATCGAATAGAAATTGAAGAGTTCACATAATTCGAGACAATCAAGTGAGCGGAAATGTGTGAAAGGGTGGTTTAAGAATTCGGTAATGGGAGAGGAATATATCGCAAACTAAATATTAACCAAAAAACAAACACAAAAAATTGGGTTACCAGTGTGATAAAGTTTATTACTGTCTCCTTTCGAATACATAAATCCGGTTTAAGTTTTTTTATCACGACCGCTCCAGCAAAACGGAGAGCAGCGGTACTTCTTTGTCGGCTAATAATTTTGAAAGAGTGAAAGATGTCAATGGTTTGCCCGGCGTCAAGTAAATGCCAAGCTATTGCACTGTTGGGAGCCCTGGTCCCTCGCAGTCCCAATTTCTTTGGAACATGCTCAGAAATGCGAATATGTATTCTTCTCTCGGTTCTTCCAATGTATGTGCATTGGCACGTACATGTAAATTGGTAAATGACCACGCACGTAAAATCTGCTCAAAGGAATGCCTGGAAGATGAAATTGCTCTTATCACTAAGTGCCTACTTGAAAATGCATATCCGGCGAAATTCATCCATATATATACAAATACTAACCCTCCGGTAAAGTATGATAGAGTGGAAAAGAAAACTTGCTTCTTATACTTACGCTTCAAAGGAGGTGAAATTACTAGAACAATTAATCACAGAACTAATTCCGCATTGAAAGCGACCTACCCAGCAGCAAAACTGACGACGGTATGAGGAACGAACTGCTCACTCAAACAAACCAAAATTGACAGTAGGTTTCACTGTGAGGGGTTTCCCTGCTGTAACCTTTCTACGTCCAGTAAGACGCAGAGAAGTACGTCCTCGAACTAGAGCATGGTCCGAGTTTAAACATGCGCTTCAGAATGATGAACAGTCTTCGATCAAGTGCCTCTAACTAGGGTTTATGACAATGTAGTCTATTGAGTCGATCGTGGAGGTCGCCACGTCAGACAATTTTTCTCCCTATGTTTGAAGTTGGTGTTTGCCAGAAGTAGACGGTTACCTGAGCATAGTTGCAATAGAGGGTTGCCATCATCTGTTTGCTGAGCCGCAACACTATAAGATCCGCCCAAGTGCCTTTCTGTTTGGTTTAGTTTATCTACTTGATCACTAAAGTTACCCACCACTATTATTATCTCAGAGCGTTTAGCTTCTTGAAAGAGGTTGGATAGCTTCCTATAAAATTGATCTTGAATTTCATCCGAGCTGCAGTCAGTGGCATCGTAGGTAGAGACTGTGCACAAGCAACTATCTGCTAGAATCCAGTGTAACAGAGCCTGTTCTGCTTTAGAACTTGATGTCATACCTACACTAGCAAAGCCGCGGATTTAGAAGTAAGGTCTCCAGATACTTGAAGGTTAAATCGTGTCAATTCTTTATATTGATAAGATGAGATCAAGTGGTTGACTGCATTTGGATCCTGCATGCGCGTTTCGGAGACGCAGCATATACTGGTTGCGCGATATTCCAGAGTGCTAGCTAAAGAAGGCTGTTTTTCTATATGACCCTGGGTTCGAACATTAAAAGCTCCAACATTCAGTTTGAAGCGTGGTTTCGGTAGACCAGGAATAACATTTCGTGAACTCTAATTATTAGTGTTGGTAGTGTGTGGTGATAAAGATATATGAGAAGGGTTAGTCGGAAGAATGGAATAATTATTATTAGGTAGGCGATTTGATCTTCAACAAGATGATCTCGGGTGTTGATAGAAGTATAAGGTTAGTTGCCACTTCCCGGTTGCCCATACCATGGGTATTTCTTCTTGAAGAACCTAAAAAAGAATCTGAATTAGTAATGGTCTTAGTGACCTTAAAGCGTGACCGCATAGCCCAAGAAATAACTGTTTGAGGTTGGTGGCACAAGGCCTTTTTATGAGTTAAGATTTTATCTAAGGTAGCTGGAATATCTCCATTCTTCACATTATCTTTAGGTAGACGTTTCATTTAAGATTCCTGGTTAACTAAATCGAATGTCAAAACTTACTGTGCAAAATATTTCACAAGAGTACAGTGTTGTCTAAACATTATTAACATACTTGTGTACAGTTTCGAATCATATCGAATATCTATTTCGCTTTCATAATTGACAATAAAAGAAATATCAGATGTTTGAATCGTCGTTAACTAGTTTCACTGGCCAAGTCTTATTCTCAAATAACTAAAACTGCTTCACTTCAGTTTGAACAGTTGGCTCGCATCACTATTGCTCATGCCCAAGGTGTCATTACAAGCTGAGCACCTGGATCTGTACTTCATAAGGAAGCTATGTTAATTAATGACATAGATATAACTGCTGAAAGATTGGTTACTTTCTACTTGATATAAACAAATAAAACTCTGATATAACTCAACGCGAGGAAAAAGCCAAGACTGCAGCTGAAGATTTTAATTATTCACTAACAATATATCTGCAGCTAATCATCTATCGCTTACTCCTTTGTTCGATAGTCATATTAAAATAAATTCAACTAGGTGATCGTTATCATTTATTAATTAGTAGTGTAGTAGATCAAACAGTTTTAACTAAATGACTGATTTATATATTTGCTTCTTCATAATTGATAAACATTCACTAAAGAGTAAATTCATGTTGTTTTTTACTTGATCAAGTGGTAAATTTAAAAATCATTTTCATTGCTCAATAAATGATGGATTGATGTTTTTGAAAAGAATGTCTTTTATGTTATGGATTTTAAAAATATAAGATTTCCTGATGTATTACATGTTCATGCAGAATATTCATGTTTTTTTTCAATTAATACTAACATTTTGTCCCAATTGTTGTAGCTAATTGTAATTTGTAAGCAAAATTGACATTTCTAAAGCATATAATAATATGTATGCATATGTACTGTGTATAATAATACATATGATTACACTTTAAATGATGAGTTATACTTGTTTACTGATCTTCATATTTTGTCTTCATAACAGATTGCATGAATTAAATGAATATTTGGAACAAGCCGATACCTCTGATAAAGCACATCGCATTTTCTCAGCCAAGGTTCGTACCATTTTTTTTCAAATAAGTGAATTAATTTATATACAGTTGAGTAGTTTTGAACAACGATGTTATGTCATGTTAACTAAACAGTCCAATCAATGAAGTCGCAATAATTGTTAAGTTTCATAAATTTCATATCATAGTCTGTCGGAGTTTTTTCGTTTGATCACTATATACGACAAAAAATGTCTTATTCATTCACTGTACCTGAACGTAAAATTATCACTCTTATTACTCATTAAAATCACAGCAGACGTTTGAGCCTTATCAAAATAAAAAATATACATGTTGAAAAACTCTGAAATACTTTATTTACTCGCCTTGAACTGACACCTTCAATTATGTGTTGAGAAATGCATTATTACTGACTACGCTCCAATAAATGTTGGTTCTCCCTTTCACTGCTGTATCCCGTGGTGAATTATGAATAGTAACTATGAGGACTATTTATGGACCAATGTAATATGTATATTTCCTATCATATAACTGTTAAATAACTAAACTATTTATATTCGTGTTCCTCTTATCGTTAGCTTTATTTTGACCTTTGAACTATTATTATACGATTCTTTAGTTATTATCAGTCTATTGATTACTATTCCCCCTATTCACAGCCACATTTGGCTAAATATCATGCAAATGTTATTTTCTATTTTGTGGTACGATGTGGTCTGTTTGGTTGGTATATAAACCCAGTATGTTTGTGAATAATGATTCATATTGCCGAGGCTGTTATTGGTATTCTGGACTAACTGGCTGGGCTAGGCAGATAGCAGGAACGAGTAGTACACAAGACTGTTCATACAGCTTTTGTGTATCATTGGGCGTTCGTATATTAACAGGGCAAGTACGCAAGCTCACGTTATAACATTCACCAACCAAATATATGGATTCATTTTAGTATGATTGTCATCGTAGTCTTGAAAATGTGGAGACTACTCACTGAACTGTCTCATAACTTCATGAGTCCTTCCATTGAGTGTTTCTTAAGTTGACTACTCATTATGATGCACACCCGAACTTGACGTGCTCATAACAAAAAATCACCCGGTTAATTTTCCGAACAATCCACGTAATCAAAACTAGGCAAACATCTGAGTCGATCTTTTCTACCCTAGCTCTTCACAGACTTCATGTCGTTTTCACTATCAATAATGCTTCAAGTCATTTTCTGGCTTCCGGATTTCCTATAATTCTATTTCAAGAAAACTTGTACATTGTTGTGAAGAACTATAAGCAATTAGTGAAAGTTAATCTTCGTGTTTACTGTCAGTAACATTTTCCAAGATGATCTATCCTCTGTGTTCTGGCGTTGAATACCGTTATTTATTTACGGATTTATGAAGCAACGACTGGTAAATGCGTTCACTTTTCATCATTTCCTATTGCCAGTAGTCAAAACAATATAAATCACGTTATATCAAAGGTAAATGACCTTGTTTAACGAATAATTCAATTGATTTTTATTCGGCAGTATAGATGATTTACATATCTACAGTTTTTAATCAATTAGAACTTATTTCAAATAACATGTATCGATTGTTCGTCAGTATCTATTCTTCCAACGAGTTGACTTAAACCAAAGTTTTCATATTATAATCTGGCGTGAATATTTGTTAGGAAGAAGTGGTTTTTGTTGTATCATATTATTCCTGAAGTCGTTTAAAAGATTGGTTGGGATTCATCTTTCATTCTTTATGGATTATAGATTTAAAATATTTTTTCTGGGATTTTATCAGGTAAATGATAACACCAGATAATCAGGATACGTCCAGTTGATGTATTATTTCTTTTGGTGTTAAATTCATGTACTACTGATTAAATGTAATTTCCTTCCAAAAAGCTACTTAATGGTATAAATGAATTCACTTGTTATGTGATGCATTGATTGAAATGCAAAAGACATCACATTGCCATTATCATCTCTGTAACTAAATGCCCACAAAAGAGTTATTTCATATTGGTTTAATAATGAACATTGCAATTTATTCACTTTTTCCTCAGGTAGAATCAGTTAAACACGAGCTTCAAGCAAATAATCTGCAGACACAAACTAAACAAAAACCTGAAGAGATTCCTAGTACAGAAAGCCAAACTAATACTTCTAAATGGACAACAGAAATGATCCAGGTTTTGGTTAAAGCAGTTAATATTCTTCCAGCTGGAACACCTAAACGGTAAAGTTTTAACACACGGTTGCCAACATTTTTCATATTACTTATCCTTATCATAATACATGGTGAAATCTGTTTGTTAAAAACGTACTACCTTGATATTCAATACCTTAATTATGGATTGTTTTGATTGATTATCCTAGTATGTTTTGACTTGTACTAATGGTCTGATTCCCGATTAAATCGCCTTGCATCCTCTTAAATCTTCACCAAACTAGTTATATAAAGTTAAAAAACAAATGCTATTTAATAAACTGTATAACCCAAAAACTAAATAATAGTAGTGCTTACAATCCATGCATATTTTAACCATCCAGATGAACCGAAGTTGTTATGTAGTAGCGAAGTACGGGTAACTAGATTATCTATATCTATATTCATCTTATTGTAAGCTTCATTTTGACATATTGATTATTATTGTATGATTTACTGTTCCTAAGTTATGCTCAGTTTATTGATTATTGTCTCCCACGCTTACAGCCTCATTTGGCCTGGTTTTGTACAAATATAATTTTCTATTTTATGGTGTGGTGTGGTCTGCCTGTCTGGTATATAGATAAAGTATGCTTGAAATAAACGATTCGCATTACAGCAGCTGCTATTGGTGTTCTGGACTCAAGTGGACGGGTAGGCGGATAAGGACGCTAGATTACTCATATTAATCGAACGTCATTGTCACAGTGTGAAGGTCGTAGAAGGCGTATTCTATTGGTGGATCATTTACGAGAATTACGTCCTTGTTAAATTCGTAAGGTCATAACGAATCAGCGACGACCTTGATCAAGTCATAACAATTGGCTATAGCCTAGGTCAAATCATAACAGAAGTAAGAATATCCAAAGAGTTATAACTGTGGGTGAATAGTGTTTTTTTTTTCATAACAATCTGTCCAGACTTGCATCTCACTTACTACGTGGTCATAATGCATCATATAATCTGTTATATCGTGTTGAGTGTGTACCCTCTTTAGTATATGAACGCTCAATTAGAGCAGTGAAATTATTGATCGCCCAATGATATACAAAAGCCTTGTGAGCAGTCTTGAGTACTTATCAGTCCTGTTTTCTGCCCAACCCAGCCAGTTAAGTCCAGAACACCAATAACAGCCTCGGCAATATGAATCATTATTCACAAACATACTGGGTTTATATACCAACCAAACAGACCACATCGTACCATAAAATAGAAAATAACATTTGCATGATATTTAGCCAAATGTGGCTGTGAATAGGGGGAATAGTAATCAATAGACTGGAGATAATTCAAGAATGGTAAATTTTATAATAATAGTTCAAAGGTCAAAATAAAGCTTATAATAAGAAGAACACGAATATGAATAGTTAAGTTACTTGGCAGTTATACAATAGGAAATATACATATTACATTGGTCCATAAATAGTCCCCAAAAGTTACCATTTACAATTCTCTTCGGAATACAACATAATCTTTCTATTCGTGATCGAAATATTAACACAATGAGTTTCTCTTGTGAACAACATTAAAAATTTAGTTATTTAACATTTATTGAACCTCAAGTTTTGGAAGCGATACTTTAGATTTTTCATTCAGTAATATAGTATAGAACATGAATGTATCTTCTTTATGATGTGATATATTTTGGGCTGACTTTTTTGCATTTAAAAAGCACTAATTCATTGGAGAAATGTCTTTTTCAATTGACCCAACAACTAGTCTTTATATTGAAATATAGAGAGCACAACTGTGAGAGTGTAAATAGTCTATTACTCGTTTACCAAGTGGCGTAATATAAATTTACTATTTAATAGAGAAAATAAATGATCTAGTTAAGTAATCAATTGTGAAGGATTACTTACTAGATAAGTTAAAAGCAGAAAATTTTGTTTAGATAACCTTGCTATTGTTTGTACGTATTCTACGTAACTTGAGTAGAAATTTGAACCAGGTTATTTGACTATTAAAATGGTTAGTGCAAAAAATGCAAATTATGGATTAGTGAGTCTTACATTCAATATCTAACTTCCCTCTGCGTCTAGGGAATAGAAACTGTCTGTGTTTATTGTCTGTTGTAGTTGTTGTTAAAAGTGTTCCCCGTTATTTTCAAAACGCATCAGATAGTTAATGGTGGTCTGTCAAATAAAATTATCTCCTAACCTTATTTTACATCTCAGTTAATCCGGTGAATAATCCTGGTTTGCTATCCCCCTAGAAAACCTCAGAATTAATTTAACTAGGTTTTCTGCCTTCTGTCATGTCGATTTAGCCGTGTTGTGTTGACCTTGTGTTAGAATACTGGTTGATAACAGCTAACTAAGATGTTCCTAAAAGTATTCAGCTTATCGTTTCGACTATATTGTTTAGGAATCAATCACTGATCCGTCTTTCCCAATGATAGTTTCACTATTTGTTAATTTGTTGACTCTTCCCTCTCTGATAAATTTGAAATGTCGTATGACATTACACCTTGTCTCTGGCTCTTCTCGTTTTTTTTTTGCCAACAATTAATACATTAAAATATCCCCGGTCTACATCGCTTCCATTCGTCACATTTACAGTCTACAATACATTTTTTTGAGTTCTGATTAGACCCTTTTGCTTTCTCGAATCGTTTGTTGAAGTTATTGCTACTGTTTCGTAGTAAACTAGAAGTAGCTCAAGTTGTGTTGTTCAATTTGATACAGATTTTAGACGCTAGAACTTCACTATTCAAATTCATATGTGATTTTGATAAACTGGGTTTAATGTTTTATAATCTAGAATCGTTGGTACTGGCTTCATGTTAGGGATGTTACTAGTGGCAAGTTATTACTAGCGGGAACAGAAGAGAAAGTAGAATGTTAGAAAGTGCAGTGGTGATGGTTATCACGGATTCACATGCTGCCTGAAATATTTGAACACTTCTTCAATATTTACACCATTGACTCATATTACTCAAAATCAACACAAACTAACAGTTAACTCACTTATCTTTTGGCTACTGATTCATAGTTTCTGAACTTACCCCACTTATTTCAACTTGGATAAAATTAGTGGTTCTTAAAGCTTAGTACTTGAGCTTGCGATTGTTTAGCCACTTGACTATATTCTCCAGTAAACTACGTATATTTTTAAGTACTTTTCACCAAGTAAATTATTTGAATCTTACATTTATGGTATTTTGTTTCTATTGATAATTAAAATCTCAAGTTGGGAAGCGATAGCTGCCTATTTAAATCAGCATATCAGTGGTGTCTCTGTATCCGGTAAAGATGTCTTAAAGCAAGCAAAACTGTTAAAAGAGGAAGGTAAGTCACTCTTCGTCTCGTAACACGCTTTTTATTAGGTTTTATTTGTATCCGTAAACAATATTCTAAGACAAAATTACGTTACATGTATTATCTACTAGTTTGACATACATATATAATATTGTATTATGATAGAGAAAAATGATATCTCATTGGTGTTTACCTGGTTGTGTTCGTTTTATGATGTTTGAAAAATAACATTGTGTAAGTCGTCTTTAATTGTCACATTCAGTTTTTTTCTTGTAAAGCGATCAACAGAAGGGTTTTAAAATTAAATCAGTAATTTTAAAAAAGCACTCAGTTGATGTTTATAGCAATGTCTAGAGAAATAATATATTTGGATGCAGTTACATACAGGCTAATAAGCTGAGTGCTTTTTTCCAGTTAAATACCATTAGGATGTTTCAATTTTATCTAAACACTTGGAAATTTTTGGAGAGATTACAAAAATATCCATTCAATTATAATGTTGATGTAAAGTTTAAAACTGTGTCATCTTTATTTTATATATGAACTTACACTGGTTGTAATGACATGTAAATTAGTTTCAATGTCTATCCTAAAACGTTATTTTGATCTGATGATATCAGAGAATAGCCTCTATTGGTCTCGTGGTTAAACAAGTTTAAGCTTAAAAATATGACTGAAAATATACTTAAAAATCTATTAATTAATGTACAATAATGAATTGGTAATATGTATATATTCATTAAATACAAAGATAACATTCGGAATATTCAACCTTGTTTTTTGTATGTTTATTTAGTTGTGTCTTGAAAACTGGAGACGATTCTGTTTCATTGTTAATAGTGTTGATTATATGCTATGATATAAACTAACCGTTTAAATAAAATTTAGTCGTTTTCAACCATGCACTAACGTGATTTAATTTGTAATGGTTTGAATTATCCCGTTGTTATAAACGTAGGGTATGCCGTCGCCAATTGTTATAAACGTAGAGAGAGAGTTAGAGGATGCTGGTTATAACTTTAGGGGTTTCTGGTTATAACAGTCCTTTTACTTCTTACACGTATGTGGACGTTAATTTATCTTAGACGAATATCTACACTAGATTCCCACCCAGTGTCTATTCTACAGGACTTCAACAGAACTCAGATCAAGAACACCAGATTAGCCTGACTATGACGTCAATATATTTCCACACGAAAATCCGACATAAAGAACAGTTAATCAATAAGTGTCCATCAACAAGGAACAGTCAATAAGTCCATACATAATAAGGATAGGGAAATATATATATAACACATAACACCTGTCATCCCCTCTAATGTCTGACTCATCGAGACAACCAATCATTGACATTCTCGCCCACACATCACCCGTTGTTGATATTTTTGTTGGAGTGATCCAGAAAACTTCTCTCAAAAGACAAGCAAAGCTCAGGAAACCCAAAAAAGCACTTAGTCCAATCAGCGTTCACTAAACGTTTTACCAAAAACATCACGATAGTAAAAAGTCACATGTAGGGTTTCTGATTGGCTGATTATTATACTGCTACTGTGTTTAGTAGCATTCCAGAATTTTCAGGACAACTCAAGGACTTCTAAAATGCTATAAAAACCGTATATTTTCTTTACATGAATGAACCTTTGAAGTAAAGTGATTCTGGCTTATTTTTCGCCTTTTCTCTCATGTTCCAGTTGCTGTGTATATTTAACTTGGGGGTTACAAGAATACCTTAGTAACCGAATATAGCCTTCAATTAGAAAACCTTATTAATTTTGACTGAATTTCAAACAGTTTTAGCTGGTATATATGAATCCTGTGCAGACTATCTCGATTTATCTATTATCAAGTCCTGGAGTGACAATCAGCCCTAAGATGCAAGCTCATCCAGCTGATGAGTCCCGTGTAAAACGAAACACGTCTTAGGTCCTTCTCTTAAGCATATTATATCTGTATTCTACCGTGTATTTTCTTTCTTCACACATATTCGGCTTCACTATGTGTAGCTTTCTCTTGAGAATCCAACTAGTTTTATTTATAGAAAGCCGGTTAATTGTGATAATCATTCAGATGCTACAAAATTTAATGTTCATAGTCCATCTCTCTCCTTTTTTATCTTTTCACAGATTCTAATTTACGTAAAACAGCTAATACTAAAGCATTTGATTCATTTAGTAATTCTGTCAGAGAAACTGATGCTGTCAAAAACGTGACAATCACAACTCAATTAGAAGGTTTGTTCTATAATAAAGTAAATTTATTTTAATTCATTTGTCATGTTCTTTAAATGATTGTTAGAAAATGAGTAATCATACAACTCAGCAAGTTAGCTGCTATTTGTTCTTTGTAACAGTTATATTTTATGATATTGTAAATTGTATTCATACGCTATTTTATTAACTCATCAATGTCATGTATTACTCAGTTCAATTTATTTTAACTTTTAATCACTATAGGTAAAACTTGTTTAAATTCAATGCATTCAGATATGGATTTATTATGCACTAAAAATAGATCAAATCGTTTTCGTTTTGCTTGCTTTGAACTATATCAATTTTTTGTTCAGTTATAACACATGTTGATGGAGATATTTTGAAATATATCACTCCTAATTAGTTAAATTAAGTCATTTTTGTGGGAACTTCAGAAATAGTCTGAGGACCGGGAACAAACATTTACTGAAATATTAACTTCAGTCTTTTCAGTTGGTAATGTTTCAGCAAAAGGCAATTCTGTTTTCATATCTTTCTCTAACAAATACAAGATAGTTTTGTTAAAACCTTTAATGATCGCTTAACTATCATACTTTCGACAATTTTCTGATATTTTGGGTAAAATACTAAACCTGCAGGAATTTCAGTATGGTCGTTGGTATTTATTTTCCATGTTTTGTATAACCTGCTCTTTAAAACTGCGACTATTATTTTAGATACAACTAATTGTCACATACTCGATGAAAGTCATTTTTAAAATCGTATAGAACATAATTATCTGCATCTTAGTTGAATTAATTACAAACTCAAGTTGTTGCACATGCGTCATGTTTGCTCATTATCGACAATGTTGTTTAAATTACTATTTTCTTCCAAATCATTAAAGTCTAAAAACACTCTTGTCCGCTCTAAAAACCTGAATAAAATATTTATGATTTATCCATTTGTAACTTTCAGAACACCTTTTACGCACTAAATAGGATTGTAACTTCCGGTCATAGTAAATCTTGCTTGATAATCTCTGGTAAACACAAAAACTCACAGTATTATGATCATCAATATTAAACTATTCTACTTGTATGTCTTGAATAATTTCATATTAACCTTCCTTTGTGTTGTTTACTCTATCATTAGCTGAAGCATCTCGTCCTTGGACAGTTGTTGAACAACGTGCCTTAGAACAAGCCCTCAAGACTTATCCAAGTAACGCTGGAGATCCTGGTTCGGATGATCGTTGGCAACTTATTGCAAATGTTGTCGGTACTCGTACTCGACGTGAATGCATAATACGGTGTAAAGAGTTAGCAGAACAGGTGAATTTACTCTTAAATTTAAAAGTTAGATACAGATTACTTACTGTGAAGTATGAGTTTTCTTATAGTTATTAATATGCCCTTTTAATGCATGTCTAAAAGTAAGATACTTATGTTTGTAACTATACCTATGTACAGATGTATGTATTATTTTCAGAAGACTTAAAACACGTTCTGCATTTTCAGATCCTGTCCTAATAAACCGCCTCTCCTCAAAAACTCTTGATTTAGAACAAGATATATATAAGCGAACAATGTTGTCTTCAATTAGATCCTCATCAGGCTTCACTGTAATATACACTAATATTTATATGCATATACGAAATTATTGAACTAATCAAGACACTACGAGTCAGTGATAACAGTGGAGTAGATTACATACATTAACATAATAAATAGAAAGTACAACTCGATACTGTGATAATGGGTGTAGTAGTTGCGATAGGAATAACAAAGGCTCGAGCCCATGTTTCATAATGGGAAATAGGTCAATGATTTAGAAAATATGAATGCTGAAACAACATTCATAAAAGCTACAAGATTGCGTAATAAAAAGTATCCAAATAATTGGACAACGAAGCGTATATTTGAAAATCAAGGGGGAGAAAATGAAGAAAAAGAAACGAACAGAGTACGGAAAATAGTAAATAAAATCTCTTGTTTTAAGGCTAATTCGGTCAAGGAAGAGATGAAAGTGTTACAAATTTCTTACGACTACAACGACTAGGATTGTTAGCTCGAATCTCTATAGCGTCTGCTATATGTACGAGACGATATCGAACCTCATAAAGAAAACTATTAGGAATACGTTAAATCACTTTAAATGACTTGTTTCTATCTACTACATGACCGCTATCGATCAAGTGTGATAGAACAGAGTTGAGTAGTGTTTTGACGATACCCCTTTCTAACCACGAAGGGAGGTGTTCACTAACGCGCTGACTCAGTTGTCTGGTTGTGTGCACAATATAACTTACTCCACAAAAGCAGGTGAACTCATAGATACACATAGATGTGGCAGTACCAGATAACTGATCCATTATTTGGGGAATCTTCATAGATCAAGTCGGGTATGAGAGATATAGGTTAGCCGCATTAAACGTTCTCTTCATTTTTCTAGTCAGCCTATCTCGTAGCATGTCACCAGGTATATTTCCATCGAATTTCAGCTTCAGAAAGAGAAATTTCTTACTAACTGCTGACGTTGCTATTTTCCTGTGATTTATCGCATTTCTACTAGTTTTCTTTACGGGGTTCGATATCGTCTCGTACACATAACAGAAGTTATGTAAAATTGAGCCAACAATCTAAGTCTTTGTATTCGTAAGAAATTTGTAACACTTTCGTCCCTTCCGTGGCCGAATTAACCTTAATATGAGATTTTAGTTATAGAAATTAATATTTGTTTGTAGAAACGTTTTAGTGTTGAATTGTTACATCAATTAGGATTTCTTTTTCCGAGTTTCATCTAGGTTCGCGCTAAAAAGGCTGCTTTGGCTGCAGCCAAGAAATCGTGAACTTTGTGCCAGAGTTACCTGACATGGTCACAGAATTTTCCCAAAAAGATATAAAACTGTTCATATTATGTTCGGTTTCAGCGTTTTAGCAAAAACAATCAGTTACATTAGACAAATGAAGTAGGAACAACAGTTTCAGATGTTCATTATTTCGTTTTTATTTTCAACTAAACTGTTTAATGTAATGATGAACTACCAAAGTTGGTCGATTTATATGTAAATTTCTTTTCCCTACATACAACTCATATAATCAGTTATACTTATTGATCCTATCAATATTCAGTGTCTTAAAATGTTAACTATTCCTTGATACACTTGTCTTTTGTATTAAATATTTTGCTTTTTGAGCTTTTATTGCACAATTCGTGCTCTGTGTATAACTGCTTAGTAGAAATACTACACGTGAAAATATGAAAGAGGCAACTGTTTATTGAAAGTTTCCAATCCACTGCTTTGTAAATGGATTACATTTGAACATTTTATCTATTAGCCAAATATCACATATCTAATTTATTGAAGTATATGCACAGTTCGTCAGGTAATCTATACTATTACCATCATTAATAGTGCACCTACTGATCTAAAAAACCAAGTAAATCCCCACAAAATATCTCATTCTGTAGATGTGTTCATCGGATCGAAGTTAATGTTTGTGATTTCCTTTAAGCTGTTCACTGATCAGTATGATATTATTAGCAAGAAGTTGCTATGTAATTGAGGTCCCATTTAATTAACTTCAGTTGCAACTCGAAAATTATCATCTCAATGCTTTTGAGCATCACATCAACATACCCTCTAACTAGACACCTAACAAGTCATGATGAATAATTGAAACCGTTTATGTTCATAAGTCTAGCATGGAGCTTACAGTTTTATGGCAAGAAAATCATTTAATTTGCAGGTGAAATTCACTTTTTTCTCCGACTAACCTCCTCCATTATACATCTAAAAAAATGGTATATTTCAGTTCTCTACTATAAAAGAAACTATGTAAGCTGTTGGCTACACAGTACGAACGTGGGTCTTCTTCAGAATATATCTAGTTCTGAAATTGTCAAATTTTAGGGATCAATCTTACTGATTACATTTTTTATGATGTACCAATATAACTTAGTATCACGGTAACGCTATCTTTCAACCAGTTTCCTGTAGTAGTTTTTCTTCAAAGTAGATTGTATGGCTAGATAGGTTTAGTCTATGAAAATAGCCGGTATAGTTCCTTGTGGTTTTACGATACATTCATATCCAAGCACCGGGTTTCTGCGTGCTCCCTACATTGGTCGGTTCGTGATCTTAATTAAAGTTTGAGACATTCCGGCGAATCTTGTGTTCACTAGTATACATAAGTCCCAAAATTACATAAGAACTGAGAAACTTGTTAGCCGTAGCGTATTGTTAAAGCTGTATCTGGTGACTGTCAGGAACTACTCAACTCATCTGAACTACTGTCAACAAGAAGTCTTGTGTCAATGGATCAATCTTTGATGTTGGTGTTGACAGTTTGTAACCTTCAAAGGCATCTCGAATGCTGTACAGATCAATACGAGAAACAGTTCAATTGATTTTGTACCGCAACAATGTTAATAAAAATTCGCGCTGCTCATTGGCCGCGAACTATTGATCCATATGACGAGTCAGTCGTTCAAAGACAATTACAACTTCTGACGTATTACACAAATTACTGTACTGTTTAATGAAGGCTTCTAATAGACAAATAAAAACATGGCATTTGAACAAATAATATGTTCCTTTCTATCAATCTTTCTTGATAGGTATTAGAAATACTACCAAATTGACTGTTTGATCCTCATTGCATATTTTTTGATTTGATAGGTAATGCTCAATTATTGACATTAGATTTCGTAGTCAAAACATAAATGACAGTCTAATACTAATAACAGTTGGAATCAACCAAACAGAAATCTTTTATCTTTGTAATAATTCAACTGAATTCATGGCTTTCTTTAAAGTAATATTTTTGTTGAAATGTAGCTGAATTGATGATTGTTATAATAACTTTAAATTTGTTAGTGAATTAGCGCTAATTAACAAAATTGTTGCTATTTATCGTGAAATAAGTAATAGGAATACAGTAGAACATTGATAACAAAGAGAAACATTGAATTCAGGAAAATGAAAGTTATCTATGATTAAGACAGTAAAGAATGTACAAGAACTAAATATGAAAGTCTTTAGGTGAAACAAAAAGAAATAGATATATGGAACTTGAATATTCGTTGGTTAATTAGTCTGCAACTCTAAGGAATATATACCAAATTGCTAAACCTTTACAGTATTCCCATCTGGCTTTGGTTTTCCCACTATAGTTTTCTTCCCTCATATTTTTCGAGAAAAAACTGGTGGATTTGTAGCCAGTCAGAAAACGACTTTTATAAATGAATAGTTTGCAGAAAAGGATACTATAATATTGTAGTGTTAACAGATTTTCCACAATTATTAAGTCCATTTATGTACTTTACAGGTTACTCGGCTTATAAATGGAAAGACTGTTACTTACAATATCGTCTAAGTTGAAGTAGATTGTTCATACTCTCGAATCTTTAAAAGAATCCAAATGGATTTTTTGAGTATCCAGATTGTTCCTAGTTAATGTTAAGATTTTAATCACGTACTGACATCAGCTATAATGTAAAAATTCTCTGTAGCCATGTGTATGGGTAGGTTTCGCTCAAAAATAAAATGTAATGTCTCCAAGTTTTGTTTTAGGGTTTAACGACAATATCGATTTGACTATAATGTACAATCTAAAGAGATCGAATTAGACAGTCAAAGAAAGGTATTTCTACTTGTCATTATACATTATGTTTGTATTTCGCGCCCAAACCCAAAGGTCGTGCCACGAAATCTTATTGACTCATCCCTAAAGCATAGTTTTACTGAATGTTCGAGGTTATATTTTTTTCCAATTAAACAGTTAGTCAGCTTACATGTGAATAGACTAAATTTGTTAAGAAAATTATTTATTGACCCTAGATAGTAGTTAAAACGCGTACATGATTATATATGAAGTATCAAAACTTCAGAGAATATATACATATATATCCCCAATGCTATTTGTTCAAAACAATCTTCATCAATTTACCAATCTCTTACTTAGAATGAACCATTCACGTTAAATTCATTTTTTTATATTTTCAAAGGAGAACGTTAACTTTTGAATGTTATATGCATGAATTAAATGGAGAGCTTTTGTTTAAGTAGTATATTATGATCATCATTTCATTATTGATTTTTCAAAATTCTTTATATGATATTTGAATTAGTTCATTATTTTTGTATTTCATCCGTAATTAATTCAATGAATGAAACATTAGAAAGTCAATTTGTATCCATTTAAAATTATTATAATCAAAAAGTGTATACACACTCATTGTCCAATGTACTAGAGATGATTTACAATAATGAATCATTGAATATTGTCTGTTATCATATTTTAAAGTATTTACTCGAACTATAATAAAAGCATAGAATTATGTAAATGAATTTATGGATATTGACTAGACATATGTATAATCTATATACTACTAAATATATTCAAATGAATCATTCTGCGTTTATCTGCTATTCTTGTACTCGTTAAATCAATTTATAAAACTTATATATATATATATATATATCCAACTATATTATGACTAATACAGCTTTTTGTCTTTATTACGTAAATACTGATGTTGAACTATGAATATTAGCTTGTTGAATTTACTGTCATGAGAACAAGTGGATTTTTTTTTTTTCTGTTTTGTCTTAAATAGGTTGACCTTTAGCCATCTGTTTGCGATCCTATTTATGAATGCTTTGTTTAACACAAAGTAGAAATTAAAAACTAAATATTTTTAAGGACCATATTTTGTGGATAGCTTGGCATAATTTAAAGATGAAATTCCATGGGGATTTACTCTGGTAAAGGAAATGTTCAGAGTACAATGTATACTCTAATTGAACCCATGTCTCTGACTCGACTAGATGATGTCCGGGTTCTATGTGAATTAACTGAAGTTAGACTAGGGTCCATTAAATTCTGACCCAATGGTGCAAATTTATCAGATACATTCAGAGGCCTAAACTTCTTTAGCTCAAGGTTTTATGTGATGATTGATAGATATTGCCAAAGAATTTCAAACAAGTAATAATGAACTGTCTAATGTACCCTAATTGTTATTTCTCGAACTAAAATCAATGTGATGGACACTCTCTTCGAATCCAAGATAACTATTTAGATTCGTTCTAATAGCCATTCTAATTATTTTGTAAGTATAGAACAATAAACTAATAAGAAAAATCTTTACTGAGTTCATTTACCACTTTAATTACTGTATAACCGAGTTTTTCAGTTCCTGAGGAAAATATCACTAACTATTCGTAAGGGTTTTAATCATCCTGCTGTTGATAATCAATCCAGAATCTTGACCAGTTTGTAATGGTATAAATAAACTCTGCTTAGATATAGTTTTTTGGTACAAGTTTTAGGTTGGATTGTAGCTATATCGGCCGAAACCCGCACTTCATCCATCCTTTTTAGGACTCGCCAGTCGGATTTACTGTATTCCATTGATGTTCACAATGACACTCGGACACAGAGCACTCCTCTTTAAATATTAATCTGTTATCTTCTAAGTTACTGAGTCCAGGTAGCTGCTAACTCGTTCATTTGGTACGATGCCTATTCGTAAGCGTTTGTATTATCCAGTTGTTGACATTCAGAAAACATCAGCACTAAATGAAACAACTCTCATCTTAAATCCCACTGTTAGCAAATATATAAAAATAACGATAAATCACTGGATAATCAACCGTCGGAAGCACTTTTAAATGTTATCTACTATTAAAAGCCACTAGTACCAGGTATATGATGCTTAGCAACAAACCACTGAATGAATATTTGTAACTTTTAAAACTAACTAGATCACAAATAAAGACGAATGTTTACTAAGGATGTTAAGAACTGTCTTCCCTCGATCTCCATAGTCATTTCTTTTGATGCTTCTTAACCAATACTATCGCTGAACAATTACGAGGCGTTTCGCTAAGAAACTTTAGTGGAAAAATTCGTTGAATAACAAATTATCACTGAAATGTTTCTTATTTGGAATAATGAAGGGCTGTGTTGATTTTTTTAGATTTGTTATGTCGGTGTCGTTTACTGCGTATACTTTAAAAAAAAGAAAAACCGCTGCAATCCCCACGACACGGAGTAAGGACACAAAGACTGGTACAAGTGGAGATCTACTAAATGCAAAACACGACGACGACCTTAGTCAAAAATACACTCATTTACTTATTGATTGTCCA